GCAGAATTCAAAGCCACAGGCATTTGCTCGAGTATTCGACCTTTGGCATTACACGATATACTTCCTTGCATGAACTTTATTTTAGAAAAAAAAAATAGGCATACATTTCGCATGATTGGCGACAGTCAACCCTATTCCAAAGGGGTAGAGTTTGCAGTTCTTCGTTCGAATGTTGTACTTAGCAGTCTGTCAAATCTCTATACCTACATAAACAAATTTGGACTTTATCCTAAACGCAATACAGTCGTAATCCAATTAATGTCGTTGCACGTATAAGGCGTTTGCGTTAACGCGTCGATATTATTTTAATTGGAAAATTATCAATACGTTTCTGAACTGTAATGTTATCGCAATAGGGTTTAATTTCCCAACGATTAAGTTAACGCGATACTAGTGGTGAGGTCGATTTTTTTAATCGTCCGACATTCCGTGCCGGAGCCATGCGTGCCTGCCCTTTCTGTGTTAATTTAAATTTGGAATTTTCGGACTAGCGTTGGTGTACCGACGCTGGACGAAATTGAAAAAAAAAAATGTAATTACAAAGTTAATGGACAACTTTTGGATTTATAATCTGCATGAAATACGATTTTCGAGCATTTGTTTTCCAAATAATTTAGTCCTTTCGATTACTTTGTACATTTGTGGTAGACTAGCTGCTACCCGCGACTACGTCTACGTAGGCTGAAGGCGTAAGATTCAGACGGAAAGACAGATATACATAAAATATGTAAGTACATAAATTATAACCTACGTCTTATTCTAATGTATAAGCTATATATTGTAAAGTTTCATTAAAATCCAATCAGTAGTATTTGCGTGAAAGAGTAATAAACATCCATCCATACATACAAACTTTCGCTTTTATATAATAAAATATCTTTATTCACATAGACGCTTGCGCGTTCTTATGAAACGTCAAAATTTTACAAAGAAATTAACACGTTCGTAAGTTACAACCGATTTCGAAAGCAATTTCTGTTAAGAAGAAACCCGCAAGAAACTCAACAGTTGCTCTTTTTAAAAAAAATCAGTTTACAATATAATAGTACAGGTACAATAGTCTTGTTTTAGCCTACGTGAGTATCAACAGTATTAACCACACACATTGGCGTCGTCAAGATATTCGGCAATAGTATAATAGGCTTTAGCCATAACTTTACTTTTAATTTTTCGTTTAAATTCGTCAAGTGGCAAACTTAATATCGACTGTGGGATTTTATTATACATGCGCACACCTTGCCCCATGAACGCCTGTTTATTTTTTTTTATAGACGAAACAATGACGTAGTTAGTTTGTTCTTATTTCTAGTATTTAGTTTATGTCTGTCACTATTCTTTAGATAATTATTAATATTATGTTAAACATACAAAATATTACAATAAATATATTGAGACGCAACAGTGAGTATATTAATCTCTTTAAAAAGATCTCTGAGTGTATTCCGGGCTCCGATGTTATAAATTGCTCGGACAGATCTTTTTTTTAGCTTCTTTTTCGAAGAATAAATATTGAATTCTTTTATTAATTACAATAAAAATTTAATCAGATGCACTACCCCACAACAAAATGCCGTACGACAAGATGCTGTGAAAATAACTGAAGTAAACAAGTCTGGCAGTGTCGATGTCTGATAGCTGCCTAACCTTCCTAATTGCAAAAACAGCGGAGCTTAACCTATTCGCAAGAAATGATAGATGGGGACTCCATTGGAGCTTTGAATCTACTGTGATTTCCAAGAATACAGCGGACTCAACTGGATTAAGGGTTGCGCTATTCAATTTTAAGCTAAAACTTTGCCTTCTTACGCTGGGAAGGGCAAGAAGAAGGCATTTAGTTTTTTTTAGCATTTATTACCATGTTATTAATGGTAAACCAGTGGAGGATACGCGAAAGTGCACTATTCACGTCGTCATAATTCGATACATTTGGGTCAACCGTAAAAATGAGCGATGTGTCGTCAGCAAACTGTACAACATCACATAACTCACTGGCATAAAAGGGGAGATCATTTATATACACTAAGAATAATAATGGGCCCAAGATTGATCCTTGTGGGACACCCATTTTCATGGGGGACCCTGCGGAATTTACATCATTTATAGATACTTTTTGAATTCTATTGCTAAGGTAAGAGGCAATGAGATTGAGGGCGATGTCACGAATGCCATAATAATCAAGCTTTTGAAGGAGGGTTTTGTGATCCACGCAGTCGAAAGCTTTTGAAAGGTCGCAAACAACACATATTGCATTTTGCGACCCTTCCCAGGCTTATAAATATGTTTAACAAGTGCGACACCCGCATCTGTTGTCGATCTGCCTTTAGTGAATCCATATTGCTCATTGTGAAATATAATATTAGTAAGGATTTATAATCTATTTTGATAAAAAATATTTTAATGTTATGTGTATTTATTTGTTTATTTTCATTATTTCTAATAATTTAAATAATATATTCTTGGCGTAGACTTACCCTTTGCCAGAATGCCACGAGTTATTATTAGATAGGAGTGTAGTCACGCAATATCCTGACTATAAGCTTGACTTACTAGTTTAATATTTAACATTTTGGCATTTCGAAACTTGATTACTATATAATTATGAGGATCACCGAAGAAAGTATATTTTAATAAAGATCAATACAATTTCCGGGCACATTTGCTTAGTAGAAAAAATCCTTACTAATATCATAAAGGCGAAAATTTGTATGTGTGGATGGATGTTTGTTACTCTTTCACTGAATGGATTTTAATGAAACTTTACACTAATATAGCTTATACATCAGAATAAGTCAAAGGCTATAATTTACATTTTATGTACTATATTATAGGCTATATTTTATGTACATCTGTCTTTCTGTCTGAATGTTACGCTTTCAGCTTATTTTACGCAGACGTAGCCGCGGGCAGCAGCTAGTGTATAATACACTGTGAAGAAATTTTAGTTACAGTCAAGCCATTACATATTTAAGTTTAAAAGGTTGATGGTGTTTTAATTGCTTTTTCATGTTAAATAACATGTTGGAGTTTTTTTTTAAGAAATAATGTCACGTTAATATGTTTTTAATGATTAACTCGCGAAGTTACATGCATGTAATACGGACAACATTGATTCCACGTCTTTAGCATCCGCCATTTTGGATATCGGCCAAAGCGTAGTAAAATATTTAATTACATTCATTTATAACAATCTACGGTCAGCTATTGCCATCTACTTTTCAGCATGACAATTAGGCATTAAGCCCGCCATTGTAGCACATAGCAGGTGTTGCTATGTGCTACAATGACAATAAAAATGAATTATAGTATATAAATAAATAAATAAAAAGTTGGCGAATTTTTTTTTATGTGAAAAGTTTCCAAGCGAGCCGATGACCACGGGCGGTGATTATCACTTAGCCTCAGATGAACCACCAGCTGGCTTGCCACTTCTCACATAAAAAAAAATATTATTCTCTGTTGCCAGTGCTCTTTGTTTGTGAAAAAGACAATATATGCAATTGATAACGGTTTGGACAAAATCACAGATGAATTGAAAAAGAGAATGAAACAAAAACTTTTATTTAAGAACCGTTTATTTACAATATTTATTTCTATTTATAAATAATACAAAAAATGTGCAAAATATATTTATAATTATTTCACTTCTTTTTTCACATTTATTCCTGTCATATTCAATAATAATTGAAATAAAATAAGATTTTCAATTTATCACACGTACGTGAACGGATTTAATAAAAAATGTAATCAAAAATCGAAATTTACACTACTCTACTTTTTAACTAGTCTACTTTTTTTTAGAAATTTAAATTGTTTATAGTGCCAATCCCTGCACTTAAGATTGAACACCAAAATATGTAGAAAAAGCGCGAAAAGATTGTCGCCGCTGTGGGAATCGAACCCACGTCCTCGGCATTCGCGGCCTGACGCTCTAGCCACTGAGCCAAACGGCTGATTACCATACCGACGAAAATCTTAACGCACTCCTCCACACTGCTTTCCTAGCATTTGAAGCAATGCCTGGCGCCATCCACTGTTATATCCTTTCCAGCATACAAACAACCCCGAATATCGTTTCACAACGATAACTCGAACGAGAGATGTCGCCATTGCTTTTTTTTTAGAAATTTAAACAGCCGTTTGGCTCAGTGGCTAGAGCGTCAGGCCGCGAATGCCGAGGACGTGGGTTCGATTCCCACAGCGGCGACAATCTTTTCGCGCTTTTTCTACATATTTTGGTAGTCTACTTTTTAAATGATCTTATTTTTTTAAAGGTACATTTGTTGTGTTTTCTTGAAACCCACCGATATTAAAATCTGGCGAAGTTCGTGAGTTAAGTTAATAAAATTTTAAAAATATTCACAAGTCATGAGTATTATCCAATATAAAACTTGTGCATCAGTTAAAATTCAGTCCTGATCTATTTTTAGGTTATTTTATTTATACTGACAGTGGTTTAACTTGTTTTTTTTTTTAAATTTCGTTTTCAATGGTATTTATTCGTAAATGGGGTAATTTAGCATACTGAAGAATAAAATAAGTTTAGAACAATCGAATTTGCAATTTCATTCTTTTACTTTTGTTTATAAGGGTTTGATGCGGTGAAGTGTCCTGTAACAGAAAAGTATTGTAGCCATGTTTTTATAATTTATAAGAATATGAACAAGCCATTGGTGATGAATCCTTGATAAATTAATAATCCGGCGAATTCGTCCAATTAGGTGCAGTTTTTTCACTTCACAGATAAAAAAGTTGTTTAACTTAAAGACATTAAATCTAATTGATAACGGCTTATTAATGTAACTTGGAATTATTGGTAAATTTTAAAAAGTTGTAAAAATTTAACTCATAATTTTTCCTAACCCCCAAAAGAAGTATGTAACTTCAAAAATGTTACATTTATTTGTGTTTTCTTCCTGATGTATTAGAATGTATTTTATGACATTTGTCGGAGAGTCCTTAACGATAAATAAATAACAGGTTCAGGAACATGTGAATTTTTAACTCATGCAGAATATCAGCGTAACGACGAAGAAGGAGATACTGGCCACAGTCTTCGCAGCTGACGAGGCTGCAACAAAACAGAAGGTTCTAGAATAAATCCCGAAGCGAATAAGTTTTAGTTTAGTGGGCGTTTAAGTATTGGGTAAGGAAGCTTGATGATTTTGGACATACCTAAACGTAACAACAAACTTTGACAAAACTTTGGAACAAACTTTGTTCCAAAGTTCCAAAGTTCGAAATCTTGATTTAAATAACTACTATTACTAACGAATTACAGGAGTTCCCTACGTATCTCTGGAGCCCAAGATCCAATACGGATGAAATTTACATGGGAAGCACCAGCAAAAAGAATCATCAAAATCGCGCGCTCAATCGAAAGTTTTGGAAACGCCACCCTGCTGCAAGAATACTCACTGCACGTCTGCAATTCCTCGGAGTAAGGGTAGGCGAAGTCGCACTGGCAGAGGCTGTTCCTGCAGACCACCCTGTCGGTCAACTCGCCCAGGAAACACTGGCTACTGCGGCTGCAGACCTCGAACAGACCTAGAGAGTAATCGAGATCAGGGCCCTGAACTCTGTCAATAGCCAAAGATCAGTTTTCTGATATTTGCCACGCATCCATCATCCAGTTGCTTTCGTAGATTCTGCTTCGTATTTCTCTTCTTACTAAGTAATCTTCCGCGTACTCTCTTACTTACTCTTTTATTAATCCTCTTCATATTAAACTTCCTCGCTTTCAGGCAACGACAACAGTCTGACCATCATCATCTATAGATCTTTAGAGAATTGATCTCTTGGTCTTAATGCTGAATGGCGGGTGGAAAATTCTACAACAATATGTAGATATCAAACTAAGCACAGCTTGTTCTATGGTGCTTGGTAACTTTCTTTTGTAAATAGACACACATCATAGACGTACAAATAGTGTCTGGGCACTAAAAATTGCAATGTTCATCACACAATATTTCTCAGCAGTGGGTATGGTAGCACCACGCAACAGTGTTCACTGTTCCACGAATGGGCAGGTCCGTCCGGGTAAGTACCATGACCTCACAGAAGACCGGCGTAAAGTAGAAGTGTTACACTTCTGCGTTTCGTCTGGCGAGCGAGGTAGCCGGGGTCCACATTATTAAGGGTGGCAACACATCTGCAACCGGTGTTGCAAATGTCTGTGGGCGGCGGTTATCACTTAACATCAGGTGAACGGCCAGCTCGTTTGCCACTTTTTCACATAAAGTAAAGGAAAAAAAACCCACATCATCTGCAGCTCGAGTCAGGTTCACTATCCACTACGCTGATCGCATCAACAATTATACGGAACTCGATACCCACGTCCAACAGTTGGCCCGGAAGATTCCGTAGCATCCAAAACAGTTCGGCAACCATTAATCGAGCCATTATAAACTCGTACGATTCGAGGTGAATATCCGTTTCATCAGAGAATAATCGACCATCGTTTTTGGCGTTACTGACCCGTCATACGCCAGCAGCCGCCGTCCCTGTAGTGGTGGGTCGGACTGCAACCGCAACGCCCATCCAAGCAGCTGCTAGACTCGCCCAGGACGCTTGTGCACTGCAAGGTGACGTTGCACGGGGCGCCGAAGCCCTGGGACTCTGTGGAAGGGATCTGCGGATGAGTCGTCATCGTTGCAGTTTTTAGGGACGGGCGGACGAGAGTGGTCCATGTAGAAGCTACCACCAACCTTGAATGTTACCAGTGTGGTAGGGGCAGTTCTCGTGAAAGCCGGAGGGCACCACAAACCTGCGACATTTCTAGTGTGGTAGGGCGCAACGACTTTTGCTGGTTGATATTTTGCGTGGAAGGGGTTGGGTGGTGAGTTCCAACGAAGACCTAGAAAGATCTATTGTAGTCTTCCCTTCGAGAACATTGCCCACTTACCGTCGGACAGCATTATCCTGTTTTTGTAAACGCATTTTACATGCATAAATTTCACGTGAACAAACACAAATCCGAAACAATTATCTGTGGGTCACACAAATAGTTGTCTCGTGTGGGAATCGAATCCACGAACTCCGGCACCGAAGCCAATATCTTGGCAATTGGCAACTGCCCTATAGAATCGTCAACCTTTGCCGATGCACGAATGGGCAGGTACTGCAGGAAGATTAGCGTGAGTTGGAAATATTGTACTTTCGCGTTTCGTCTAACGAGACCGGTGCCAACTTATTCAAAGGCCGGTAACGTATCGACAACCTCAGGTATTGTAGATGTCGATACGCCAATCGACATTTTTCAATTCACATCGGGTGAACCAATTGCTCGCTTGCCGACGATTCACATAAAAAACATTTATTTTATTTATTTGTTCTTAATGCACACAAAGTACAAAGGCGGAATTAATGCCATCAACCATATAACCATACCAACATTCAAACGTGGCATGTTATTCTGATCGCTGACCGTAATATAAGTGTTTTCATTTGCAAAGACACATCCACTCATAGTTTTTAAGTTTGCATCATCATTGAAAATCTTAGGACTATAAATTGTATACAGAAAATACCACATTTCATGTAGTATACCTTATTAAATTTAAACATTTATATGTATTAGTGAAGTCGATGGATAAAGGTGGCTCAGGATCGTAATTCGTGGCAGTTTATGGGGGTGGCCTATGTTCAGCGGTGGACTCAAACAGGCTGAAATTATGATGATCATGGTGATGTATAAATGATGAGCCATCGGATCAGCTGAATTTTTCTGGACTTGTATCACTTTGTTGATCACTTGTTGGTCGCGGGTATCTCCGATTAAAACCGTTTACCCATCGGTAGGTCAAAGTCCTTCCTAGGTATCCTGCGCACCTCTTCCCCGAAATGGCGCAAATAAGCCAGAATAGATCTTCACTCGATCTCTGAGCTATCACGGCTCTATTCAGGCAGCTCAGTGTCCACGCGCTCGCCTTTAATTACATTACTTGAGCAACCTTCGTTCAATCCCCGGTGTCAGCACCAATGAAATGGCTAAACTTGCATATTTTCGAAATAATGAAAAAAAAATATGTCGAAAATATGTCAATATGTCCCCCAAGCCGCAGTGGGGTCGATGGGGGGTGGCCGAGGAGGCCTTGGACCATCGGTGGGACATTTATAGAGACAACACAAGCGACGTACCTGGCCAGCACCGTTCCTCGTAATCGACGAAGGAGTCGCTGCACTGACAAGTCCTGGAGCCATTGTTCTGCACGCAGACAGTATTCTCTATCACGCAGTCAGAGTCCACAGAGCAGGTGCCGCCGATTACTGGGAAGAAGAATAAAAATCAGAGTTTATCGCAAATTTAGCGGAGCAAACAAGTACAGTCTATCCTATCAAACGGGGTAGAGAAAAAATTTTTACGAAGGGTATCTCGTATATATCTCTAGTACCTGGAGGACCGGTTTCTTTTTGGTAAATCATGTGTTTTGGAAATAAAAAAAAAATAAAGAAAAATGATCTGGTATAGAAAAAAAAGTAAAAAAAATAAGTGTGTAAATGATCGTGATACGAACCGCGGCCGTCTGTTTTGGGGCCGCGCGATTACGGACCGAGCTATTACAAAATTTTTTTTCCGGCGAAATTTACCGTCATATTCGAATGATATTTTTTATTCCCTGAAAACAGGGATAAAAGGACATTTTCTAAAAATGAAAGCTAGCAAGATCGATTATTCGCCTCCGAATCTACGCACATACTAAATTTCATGAAAATCGCATTAGCCGTTTCTGAGATTCCGATTATATATATATATATATATATATATATATATATATATATATATATATATATATATATATATATATACAAGAATTGCTCGTTTAAAGGATAAGATAAGATACAAAGCAATATGTTAGATATCGTCTGATATGGACATATCATTTTCATCCTAACTAGATGGCATGAGCGTAACATGGGATTCATGTTTTGCGATTTTTTCATGTAGTGTCATTTAATGTAGTGATAGTAAAATTAATTCATGTGGTGCCGAGCTATCACGCGCTCAGCGGTGAAGGAAAGTATCGTGAGAAAATATGGACACTTTAAAAATAATAAAAAAAATATTTAGAATATAATTATGTAAATTCTGCCAATTCGCGGGAGGGTCGCGTAGACTACACCCTAATAACGTGATTGTACAGAGGAGACCTAGCAGTGGGAGACATAGGCTTTTACCTTAATATTTGCTTTTGTAAGTATTTCTCTAATAGTTTGCTCTGTAATCCTGCAACCTATGTAAAGATCTACTCAATATTGTAGGGAGAACAAAGATAGGTATATGTTGTAGGGAGAACTAAGTCATACTTCCTACATTTTATAATAATTTCTAATTTTTTTTAACCGACTTCAAAAAAGGAGGATGTTCTCAATTCGACTGTATTTTTTTATGTTTGTTACCTCTGATCTTTCGACTGGGCGAATAGATTTTGATGATTCTTTTTTTATTTGAAAGCTGGTGTCTCCCATGTGGTACCATATAAATTTCATATGTACAGGATCTTGTGCTCCGGAGATACGGAGGGAAATACAGAGCGAGATATTTGAAGTCGCTTTTGTTTTTCCTTAATAAAAAAAAATGATAGAGAAGAGAGAGATAGGGGAGGGATCTCAGAATCAAACAGAAAACGTATTGCGAGTGAGATATTTGCGTTTAAAAAAAAAGTTGTACTTATTGATATGTTATATTTTCAGATAAAATCATTCCATGTATGCACACTCGGGAAGATGTTTGGGAGGGCGCCACAAGATTTCTAGAACTGTTGTAGTCAGAACAATTTTCTCCGTGGGAAAAATCGTAGTAGTTTTAGACAAAAATTAACCTAATATATAAAATTCTCGTGTCACGGTGTTTGTAATTGAACACCTCCGAAACGGCTCGACCGATTTTCGTGAAATTTTGTGTGCATATCGGCCAGGATGGAGAATCGGACAACATCTATTTTTCATCCCCCTAAATGTTAAGGGTGGTCCACCCCAAACATTTTTTCCCTACAAATAATTTATATAGCAAAACGTTTGCTGGGTCAGCTAGTAGTTTATAAAAATCGTATTGTTGTAGTCAGCGCGTCACACCAGGAGCGCAAAAATAGTAGTGTATAAAAATCGAATTGTTGTAGTCAGAACCTTTTTCTCCGTGGGAAAAATCTTATTAGTTGTAGAAAAAAAATAGTAGTGTATAAAAATCGAATTGTTGCAGTCGGCACCTACCAGGAGCGCATGAATCACCATCCTCCTGGTACCCGTCCATACAAGAGCACCGGCCGCCTTCGCAGACCGTATTCAACGTTCCGGAACATTCTGCGGTCGCTTGGCACGCGTCGCCCAGCTCTGAAACGCGATCGACAATCATCAACTTCATGTTTAACTGTGGTAGGGCCACGCAGCAGCCTCGGCTGTTGCACGAATGGGCAGGCTCGTTCGGGATACTACCACGACCTCACAGAAGACCGGCGTAAAGTGGAAGTGTAATACTTTCGCGGTTCGTCTTGTGAGTGAGGTGGCCGAAGCATCTGTAAACCCTCGGGTCTAGCAGATGTCAATGGGCGGCGGCCTTCACTTAACATCGGGTGACCCGCCTGCTCGCTTAAGCTTTTCACATGACAAAAAAAATCAATGGCAGTTTTCGCCAAACTGTGGTAGGGCCACGCGACAGTCCTGTTGCACGAATGGGCAGCTCCGTCCGGGGAAGTACCGCGACCTCACGGAAGACCGACGTTAAGTGGAAGGGTTACACTTCTGCGTTTCGTCTGGTGAGTGAGGTAGCCGGGGCCCACTTTGTTAAAATCTGGCAACGCTTCTGTAACCTTACGGGGGGAGTTCAATCGTCGATTGTAAACCAGGACTCCATTGTCTGTTTGTTTGTCTATCCCAGTCTGTCACCAGGCTGTATCTCACGAACCGTGATAGACGGACAGTTGAAATTTTCACAGATGATGTATTTCTGTTGACGCTATAACAACAAATGATAAAACACAGAATATAAAAAAAATGAAGTGGGGGTCCCATACAACAGACATGATGTTTTTGCCGTTTTCATAAATAGTGGTACGAGTGCGTCTCGCACTTGGCCGGTTTTTTAAATCTTCCATACTATCTACATGTACAACTACGAGATACTAGGTTATATCGGCATCGTAGTTACCAAGTCCCGTGGTGAGGCAGAGGCCGCCCACCGCTTCCAGACCCTCGGGGCAGGTGCAGTAACCCTGGCCGTCGGGGTCCAGCACGCACTGGATCTCCAACTCGCCAGCTAAACAATCGCTGTCCACTTCGCACATCTCGCCAATACCTGTTGAGAGGAGCAGTGGTTATATCTTGTTAAAAGATATTGCGCATCTAACGCCCCCTTTCTGAAACACTGCTCTACGTAGAAGTCAGCCAAACGGCTGTCAAATGGATTTTCAAATGTCATTTGAGTTGCCAAAAGGATTTGTTAAACTCTGTGAATTGATCAGTAAGAAGATTCTGATTGCATTTGGCTCCTGAGCCGGGGGACTTGCAAGTGCAGAGCAAGAGTCATTTCCACACATCCCCGTCCTCAATGTATTCCACGACACTGTAATAGGCCCTTTCCATTAAGGTGGCTTTTACGAAATGTATGAAATTATTCACACTCAATTGTTTGCGGATGTCACCTATTCTATCGTATCCTTAACTTGCGTGACTATGTGTAATATTTCGTGGATCAGGATTAATAGTCAACGAATTATACAGTATTTTCAATTGCGGAATGTCCGTTTTTATCAAATATTCTAGAAATTCACACCAGTCAGATTTATCCTTACTAAAATTAAAAACGCGAAAGTTTGCATGTATGGATGGATGTTTGTCACTCTTTCACGCAAAAATTACTGAACAGATTTTAATGATAGTTTGCAATAATATAGCTTATACATCAGAATAATACAAGGCTATAATTTATAAAGGTATTGTGTGAATTGTCCAAAATATAGGTAATAAAATTTTATAAGTGTCAGCTAAGTAAGACAAAAGTCAGCCGTCTGCGAGATATTCTGGTGTAAAATAAAAAAAAAACTCATTGTTAATTCCCTTTGGCCGTGCGGGCGAAGCCGCCGTTAACAGCCAGTGAATTGATTAATATTTACAAGATTAAATCTATTTAAAATTACGTATTATCCAATAAACCTAATCCACGCGGCATGGTGCCGAGAACGCTAGCTGCATTTCCTCGCTGAATAATTATGCTTAACATTTGAGCGAGAAAAGAACCAGCTCTTGTCACCAGCCGCGGCGTTAAGCCTAGGGAATAAACTTTTAAAAATTTTTGATGTGTGGGTATAGAAAATAAAGTAAAAAAGATAAGTGTGTAAATGAGCGTGATACGAACCGCGGCCGTCTGTTTTGTGGGCGCCCGATTACTGATCGAGCTATTATAACATTTTTTTTTTGCGGCGAAATTTACTGTCATATTCGAATGATATTTTTCATTCCCTGAAAACAGGGATAAAAGGACGTTTTCTAAAAATGAAAACTTTTTCGCCCCCGACTCTACGCATATACTAAATTTCATGAAAATCGATGGAGCCGTTTCCGAGATTCCGATTATATACATACAAAAATTGCTCGTTTAAAGGATAAGATATTTGCGCCATTTACTTACTTCAGCTAGTGAGTAACAAATACAAATACATCTACCAAGAAGCCTTGGCCTCGTTACCTGCGAAGAGCCTGCACATCTCCCTCCTGGGGTCCCACACGGCGACGTCGGGGTCGCACTCGCAGGACCTCAGACCCCACGGCGGGCGGGCGGCGCCGCAGCGGGCGGCCGCGCCGAAAGTATGACAGTGCTGGTCGGTCAAGCACGAGTCGGTGAACCGACGGGTCACTAAAATCAATAATATAAATATAGCTAGTGTATTGGAGAGGCGCATGCCCAACGGTGGGCGAACACACGCTGAAGAAGAAGAAATATAGCTAGCTGACCATCGTGGTTTTGCCATATAAATTTAGTTAACTTTATTTTATTCATTTAATCGAGTCTTGGTTTCGATTCCCACACGGGACAACTATTCGTGTGACCCACAGAACATTGTTTCGGATCAGGGTATTTGCCTATGTGAACTTTTTTTTTATGTGAAAAGTTGCCAAACGAGCAGACGGTTCGTCTGATGTTAAGTGAATACCGCCGTCCATGGACAACTGCTACACCCGAGGGTTTGCGTATCTGCAAACCCTCGGTTGACTTTTTTGGAAATTTTTGGGCTTCGGCTACCTCACTCACCAGACGAAACGCGAAAGTATTTGTCATACTTCCACTTTCCGCCGCTACCGCACTACCGCCGGTCTTCTGTGAGGTCGTGGTACTTACCCGGACGAGCCTGCCCATTCGTGCAACAGCCGAGGCTGCTGCGTGGTCCTACCACTTGATGTATGTTAAGCGTCCTTTCAACACAGGGTAAAGTTATCCTACAGTAAATGCAATATTCTTAAAAATCTAAAAAGAAGCCCTCGGGTAGGCCGTGGTAGTGATGCTGCTGAACTTATATCAGGTGTCAATCCAAAATAAAGTCAAAGATCTAAAAAACAGTTCTGCGAGGCCGTGGTAGTCCCCGGTCTATCTGGTCTACTCCTGCTGAGCTTACGTCAGCTGCTATTGCTCCACCGTGAGGTAAGCCTGGACATACCTCTGACGCAGTCCCTCATGTTCAGGTCGAAGAAGAAATTGGGCGGACAGGTGCATATCCCGTCTACGATCATCGCCAGTAGACCATTGCACTGGCCTTCCGCGGCGGGGGAACTGAGCTCTGGTGGAAGAAGGGGAGGAAGAAAGAAAATATATTCGTTTACTTGAAAAAGAAAAACAAAAAAGATAGAAAATATTACAGTAATACATCATCATCATAATTTTAGCCTGTTTGAGTCCACTGCTGAACAAAGGCCTCCCCCACAGACTGCCACGAAGTACGATCCTGAGCCACCTGCATCCATCGACTTCCCGCACATTTGCACAGGTCGTCACTCCATCTAGTGGGGGTGGTACTACACTACAACAGCCAGTACGAGGCTGCTACTCGAGAACCTTTATTCCACAACTACACTACTTTTTAAAATTTTTAAACGTTTACCAGCCGAGCAATTGTTCCCCGCGCTGTAATAGCCGATTGGGCACAGACAGACACCGAACCGCGAGCATTCGTACGGCTCGGGACATCTGTTGACAGCGTCACATTCGACCACGCCACCATCTTGTCCATTCCCCGCAATGTCGTGCATTTTAACAGCGCTGACATCTTCGAGTATGTCTGCTGTTTCTGTAAATTTAAAGCGTAAATTGGTAAAAAAGGTTTTGCCTTTGATTTAATTACGACAATGGCAACGGATTTTATACCGATTCCAAGAGAGGAGGTTCTAAATTCAGCAGTATTTTTTTATGTTTGTTACGTCGGAACTTTGTCGTTTATATTTTATGGTTTTAGAAACTATTTTTGGATTCAGTTCACTTCAGTTCTCATGTTGTCCGGTATTATACCTGGGACTCCGGAGTTACATCAGGCAACTCCTCACTCAAAACTTATTTTTATGTGAATAGTTGCCGAGCGAGCAGACGGTTCATCTGATGTTAAGTGAATACCGCCGCCCATGGACATCTGCTACACCCGAGGGTTTGCAGATGCGTTGACAACCTTTTTGGAAATTGGGCTCCGGCTACCTCACTCACCAGACGAAACGCGGAAGTATTATACTTCCACGGCCACGGGTGCAACGTTTTTGGTAGCTAAAAATCAAAACCGACTTCAAATACGTCACTATCTATACAATTTGCTTATTTGATTTTGGTAGGGCCACGCAGCTGCCTCGGCTGTTGCACGAATGGGCAGGCCCGTGCGGGTAAGTACCACGACCTCACAGAAGACCAACGTAAAGTGGAAGTATGAAGAATACTTTCGCGTATCGTCTGGGGAGTGAGGCGGCCGGAGCCCAATATACAAAAGGTTGTCAACGCATCTGCAACCCTCGGGTGTGGCAGATGCCCATGGGCGGCGGTATTCACTTAACGTCAGGTGAACCGTCTGCTCGTTTGACAACTTTTCGCATAAAAAAAGGCTTGTGTGTGGCCCCTCGCAGTTCTCTCTTCGGGAACCGGTCGACGCGTCGATGTCCAAACAACCCGTGTATGTTGCTGAGTAACTCACCGTTTACATTGTAGCATCTGAAGTTGACCTGGTCGCAAGCCCCGCCGGTGAACTGACAGTCTTCGTTCAGGACGCACCCGTCACCGACAGCTGGACACAAAGAGCAATAAGCTCTCTTAATCTTTGTACACTAGCTGTGCCCGCGACTTCGTCCGTGTGGAATTTAAAATAAATGAAATTTTTGCACTTTTTGCCCGCACTTTTTCTACATATTTTAATAAATGAAATTTCTAAAATACTAATACTACTACAAAAGAAGTTACTCATTATTACATCAGCTGTCTGCCAGTGAAAGTCCCGTCAAAATCGGTCCAGCCGTTTCAGATATAAGCCGGAACAAACAGACAGACAGACAGACGAGAATTGTGAAAAATGTTATTTTGATATATGTAGGTCAATACAATTTTATTTATCTGTAAAGTTGTAAAAGCCGAGCAATATGTATATATAAGTACGCTGCGCAGTTTTATACTATGTAGTGGAGGAGTGGTGTACCGAGCCCCATCTTCCGGCACTCGCCCCTCTGCCTCTGGTAGTAACCGGGGGCGCAGACGCAGGTCGAGTTGCAGACCATGCTGTAGGGGTCCCTGACCACCCCTAGACACTCTTCGTCCCTCGCGCAACGCTCGCCGTAGTCAGCAGACGCCCAGCACCTCCCCCTGAGGTAGTGGTGTCCAGGTCTGCAGTCGCAGATGCCCTCTGCGAAAGGAAGATGGAAGGAAGCTATAGTATTTCGAGAGGAAATAGAAGGGGAGTCTAATTGTAGTCTCTCGGCTCTCCTTCTCTGGAAAGACCTAGATCTGTCAAAGGGTGGAGAAACCCGTTTCAACTAATTCCTCGATTCTGAGTTTTTAATCGAACTTTGAGTTTGAATTTCCGTTAAAATGTTTAAATGTTATTAACCAAGCGCGTGGCTTTTTCTAATTCTTTCAAACATCCTTTGATCTGCTATGGGTTGTTAAGTATGAAATATAAAAACAATTCGATACTCTTACTTATTTGATAAGTTACACTCAAAAAACAGACGTTCATAAAGATGAGTGAGTTTAAACATGCGGGGGCCCCCTTTCGCGCGGGGCTCGTAGCAGTTGCTAATCTCGTTACGTGGTTAATCCGCCACTGACTATCTCCCGAATGTTATACCGTTTTTATTGTATACTAGCGACCCGCCCCGGCTTTGCATGGGTGCAATGTATTATACATAATATAATTATTCCTCTTGAATCACTCTATCTAGTAAAAAAACCGCATCAAGATCCGTTGCGTAGTTTTAATGATCTAAGCATACATAGGGACAGACAGACAGCGGGACGACTTTGTTTTATACTATGTAGTGAAGTTAATGACAAAGTACACTGCCAGTCTATAATGTTCCACTGTTGGACAAAGTCCTCGTATAGTCCAATAGAAATTGTTACTTGCAATTTTATGTGCTGACTTATCACGTGCTCAGCGGCGAAGCAAAGCATCGTGAGGAAAGCTGCATCTTTCGAAATGATAAAAAAAATGTTCGTCGATATGTGAAGACCGCCAATCGTCTGCACAGAAGAACAGCCTACATGCTGCATGCTACTGGGCAATAGTAGCATGCAGCATGTAGGCTGTAACTTCACTACTGTTTACTATACGTTTGACTCGGTTTGATTTGATTTGCCCAGCTGTGGGAGATGGAAAGACTTGGCTTATTTGGAGTGGAAAGCAGTGGCACACATGTAGGCTGTTACTTCATTACTTTTAATTTACTTTTGACTCGATTTGATTTGATTTGCACAGCTGTGGGAGATGGATAGACTTGGAGGACTGGGAGGTCTTACCGGCGGCATCAGGCAGTCTCCGACATTGATAATTGTTGGACAGTCTGTAGCACTGGTGATCCTCGAAGCAGGGAGACGTGAAGTAAGGCGCCACTGCGAACAGATCACATCGAAATTATTGAAGTCGAAGTAAGCTGTGACAAATAAATACAAGTGTTGAAGGAAATCTCACAAAATTGCACGACCGCAACTTTTTTATACGCGACAAAGTGGCAAACTGGCTGACGGTTCACCTGATGTTAAGTGATAACCGCCGCCCATGGAAATTTGCAACACCTGTAGGGTTGCAGATGTGTTGCCACCTTTTAATAAGGCCCCGGCTACCTCACTCACCAGAAGTGTAACACTTCTACTTCACGCCGGTCTTCTGTGAGGTCGTGGTACTCACCCGGACGGACCTGCCCATTCGTGCAACGCTCGAAGCCCTAGCGTGGCCCTGCCACGGAAAATTGACAGAAATCATCGGATTTCCGCGAGGCGGCTAACTATATTACTTTTCGTGGTTTGCAGGACGTGATTAAGAGATAAGTACAGTTCTTTTTTCTTGTTGTCTTTCTATTTGTTTTTATTAAAGAGGGGTTTTACACACTTGAGTATAGATTTTTTTTTAAAACATTGCCCTCACTTTAGGGTAACATTATCCTGTGTTGTAAGGACGTATTACAAACATAAATTGCACGAGGACAAACACCCAGATGCGAAACAACTAATCTGTGGTTAAACACAAATAGTTGTCCCGTGTGGGAATCGAACCCACGACCCCCGACGCCGAAGCCGATACCTTGGCAACTGCGCCACGGAGTCATCGAAAAGATATTCTACTCGAGAAATAGACACTCGTATCACCCTCATTACTTACTTAATTACAGAAACACAAACAAATAACACAAATCGACGCCTGCGTTTCATCTAATAAGTAGATACAGTTGGAACAAATCAAAATGAAAACAAAACCGGCCAAGTGCGATTCGGTTCCGCGCACGAAGGGTTCCATACCGTTATCTATAAAAACAGCAAAAAATTTTTGCATGTTTGTTGTATGGGAGCCCCACTTAAATATTTTTTTATTCTGTTTATATATTTGTTGTTATAGCGGCAACGGAAATACATCATTTGTGAAGATTTCAACTGTGTAACTATGACGGTTCATGAGATACAGCCTAGTGACAGACGGACAGATGGACAGACAGACAGACAGCGGAGTTTTGGTAATAGAGCCCCGTTTTTTAACTTTTGGATACGGAACCCTAACAATGATCTATTCAAAAAAATAATCCAGGACACATTTTTGTACAACATATAAACACCCGGATACTGGAAAAATATTATGTTCATCACAGAATATTTTTCCAGTAGCCGGGATCGAACCCACACTGTCTGCGTTAGAGGCTGGTGCTACTACGCCAAACGACCCGATCCCGTGACAGCTTACCTTGCACTCTACAAAGTTTTCACCGGAACAGTGCTACCAACTATCTCCAGTCAGTTACGGTGTTGCCAACTTTAGTGGGGCTCTAAGGTCACTTACGGTCGTTTTTTCCTTTTTTTTTTCTTGTTTTTGGTTACTCACGGTCAGAGCATAAGGTGCCGCCCAGAACGGACTGCTGCCCCAGCGGGCAGACGCACGAGCCCTCCCTGCAGACGCTGCCAGGCGGGCTGGTGCAGTCCGCGTCCTCGCTGCAAGACCAGATGCCGGTCGCCACTTTAAACTGCAGAAGGACGCCTGGAAATATGGCGCGAGGCCAGGGCCGGATTTAGCGGAGGGCAACCGGGGCCACAGCCCTGGGGCCTCTACAATAGAGACTTCAAAAAAACCCACATTAGAGACTGGAAAAAAAATCAAATTCAGACTAGGACAGACCTTTAGCTACAGTACTTTGTGCAAACATAATTACATAAAATATTAACAGTAATCGATGGAAAATAATTTGTGGCCAAGGGGCTTCCATTTTTTTGTTATCCCGAGGCCTCCAGACCCAGACCTCTAAATCCGGCCTCTAATCCGTTTCATCCGGTGAGTGAGGTAGCTGGCCCACTTTATTAAAACTTGACAACGCATCAGCAACCCTACGGGAGTTGCAAATGTCGATGGGCGGCGGTTATCATTTAACATCAGGTGAACCGCCAGCTCGTTTGCCAACTTTTCACATAAAAAAAGGTGAACTGATTTGTATCTGGATTATCTTAATCCATCCTAACTCACTATAATGACCTTTTGACCTTAAATTAACAACAAAATATATCCCACGGCTGGGCATAGATCTCCTACGTTTTTTTTTTTTTTTTTTTTATGCGAAAAGTTGTTAAACGAGCAGACGGTTCACCTGATGTTAAGTGAATACCGCCGCCCATGGACATCTGCCACACCCGAGGGTAACAGATGCGTTGACAACCTTTTGAAAATTGGGCTCCGGCTACGTTTTGAGGAGTAACCTAAAATATACCTTAGTCTATTCTAACTCACTGTTATATTTGATAACTATTCGTATTTTGGCTGCTTAGAAATTAGTCATGATGACCTTTTGACCTTAAAATAAATCAACATAATATATACCTATATCCCACAGTTTGGCATAGGCCTACCCAGTATTGAGGAGCCACCTGAAGATATCTTAGTTTACCATATCCCACTGTATTGTTTCTAATAACCATTCGTATCTTAACTGCTTAGAAAACAGTTATGATGACCTTTTGACCTTAAAGTAAAAGTTGTCTTTAAATTCTACTTTCGCGTTACGTCTGGTAGGGAGGTAACCGGGGCCTATTTTTTTATGGCATACGCATCCGCTACGTCAGATGTTACCTATAGGTAAGGTCGGCGGTAGTTCAGAACTTCAGTTCAAACGCCGGCTCGCTTATAACTTTACACTTAAAATCCCTGTTTTGGCTACAATGCCTCGTCTTTTATTGTCTGTGTGAAAGGCACTAGTCTTTGACATGAGCCTAACAGTCGACGAAGTAACAGCCTATCCATATCCCACAAAGGCAAAGGCCTTCTCCGCACAGAGGGTATCAGGGCATAGTCCACCACGTGGCCCTTTTGCGGATTGGTGGACTTCTCAAATCTTCGAAATTTATTTTTTGTTATTATTTCGAAACTATGCAGGTTTCCTCACGTTATTTTCCTTCACCGCTGACCAGGTAATAATAAGTCAGCACTTCACATAGTTTCATTGGTGCCGGCACCGGGGATCGATCTCGGGTTGCTCGAGTATATTGAAATTAAAGCGAGAGCCTGGACGATGAGCTATGGCGTCTTTAGAGCTATAGTAGGCACAATTTGAAATATAAATAATCCAAGCAAAATAACTTTGAAAACTCACCAACTGTCAAAATGAAGAAACACCGCATTTCTGATAAATTTGTGATTATATCTACTTAAAAAAACATGTGCGGGCTTCTTCTATCCCTATTATATTAAATATGAATGTCATAAACGAACCAATTTACTATCTGTATCGATACTCTGTAAGATAATTTTGGTATTGATATAGACGTAATAAGAGATTAGAATGGACGCGGCATTTTTTCTGTGCCCATCCGTAATCATTGAAAGCAATTTATGTAAAAAAAAATGTCTTCATTTCTTTTTTTTTTCGAATCTTTCATATTCAAATTATTTTTATTTGCTGAAATATGGGTAGTAGACTTAGTTCTTAAAAATATAAAGTACAGTTCATTCACATTAAGACCAACTATTAACATGCAAACGTGTTAAATTTATACAGATAAATAAAATTGAAGTGTCTGTTTGTAATATTAAAATAACCGCTTTTTACTCATTTAGTAAAATGGAATGGATGTTTACACGGTACATATACCAAAATAACATTTTTTACAATTTTTGTCTGTCTGTCTGTCTGTCTGTCTGTTTGTTCCGGATAATCTCTGAAACGGCTGGACCGATTTGGACGGGACTTTCACTGGCAGATAGCTGATGAAATAAGGAATAACTTAGGCTACTTTTACTTTAGAATTTTTTTTATTTTAAATTGCACGCGGACGAAGTCGCGGGCACAGCTAGTAATAAATAAATTTATGTGTGTACGTAACTTATACTTGTTTAGCGTAACAATAGCAAAATGATTAAACGTTTTATAGCCTCTGCCTGTGCCAGTATTCTTTGTTTGCGAAAAGGACATCGCCAAAAGAAGCTATACTTCTTCTAGTCTACAAATTTCGCTGTCCTCTGTAAATGTTTCTTAGGTCTACCTCCGTATCGTTAGTCATTGCAGGTGTTCAGAAATATGCTCTAAACGGCCCGATAAGATACCGCCGAATTCACGCGAGTTAATCACCTAACAAAGTTAAGACTCGAAATAGACAACTTAGATTGCGGAGTAGTCTATATTGAACTGTACAAATTGTCGTTTAAGGAACGACTTTTTACTACGTGTCTTAACTTATTTCTTGCGGTAAAATTGTTTAAATAAATTAATTTTATTAATTAGTTTCTAGTGGTCTGAACGTTGGATGAGGAATTTTGTTTATAGAACACCGTTTTACATTTGTGTCTTTCCGCTAATGGCGATGAGTCTCACGAATACGTTGTTTTATTTCAAGTATTTGTACACTTTAAGAACACAGTTATCAGCGATAGATATAGACGTGGGAACTTTTTCTGGACATCGCTCTTACTCTTGCAATCTCGTTATATTACATAGAGATAATTAATGGCTTCAAATCTATCTCTATCTCGATGCTTAACCAGTGTATGAAAATTCTTTGCGAAATAAATATAATTAATATGTCATGATTGATATTAGCGACATCTATTGAGGATACTTCTCACCTTTACAATGAAGATTCTCTCCCCTCTGGCAAGGCTAATTTGGAAAGTTTTTAATTTGTAAAATTTGTAAAGGTCGATTTTTTAACTTCATAAGTGATTGAAATTAGCTTAAATAGAATATTTTAAATTTGAACGGTACGAATGACGCAGGCAAATTTTTCGACGCTATACTGATGCGATGTATAAAAAATAATTATAGAATTAAATAACGGGTAACATTAATAAATAAAGCGCCATCTATTGACAACATTTTTAAAACAGTAATTTGTTAAATGTAATTTTTTAATGACTACGAATTTTTTTGTAAATTTTAGAACACATTTTTTATGTGGAGCATGCCAAAAAATTCATTTATGCCTTAATTCATAATTTTAATTTATTACGTTTCTAATATACTTATTTTCTAAAAAAGATAACGAATTTATAAGAAAGTACATCATAAATGAATAAAGTGACATCTATCGATACATATTAAAATGATGTCGCAAACATCATGATCGCAAAAAATATGTAAAGAATCTTAATATTAATAAGGTAATTTCTGTTTTTTATGTTAATAACCTATTATATGTTAATCTTAAAATATTAAATTTTATTTAATACTGCATTATGGGATGAGTTTTAAGGTATATTGTTAAAATAAGTCAAAATATGTTAAGGCGAATGTTAGATAGTTTAGGTTAGAGCTACTAGATGACTTTGACCGCTATATAATTCTAGTTTAGTTAGAGCATGTTCGAATCGAATTTAAAACCTTTTAACTATTATTATTGCAAAAGAAAACCTTTTATGGATTGTTTATAATTTATTTTAACGTATCTTAAATGTTTATATAATTTATTTTTATTAAGGTTCATCAATATTGTTTTTAATTTAATTTTAATTCAATACTCAATTTTTTTTAATAAAAATTGTATTGTATCATAATGTTATATACTGTTCTTAAATTAACAACCTTTCTACATCGGGTTCCGTGGTGTAGTGGTTATCACATCTGCTTTACACGCAGAAGGCCGCCAGTTCGATCCTGGCCGGAATCATTTTTTTTATTAAAACTTTAAGCTTTCTAAATAAATCTCTTTTCTGTCTCTGTTCGATACTTGAAAAAAATACAATTGTAATGTATGTAATCTAATGTAATGGTGTAAAAAAAATTTTAAAAAAAAATTGTACCAAATTCTATAATAAACAAAGTATTTGTATTACGTGCATATTTGAATTTATATATAATTGCTAATGTTATATGTTTATAATTTAAATCTATCTAAAATTATATATTGTTATGTAATAAACCTAATCCACGCGGCATGGTGCCAAGAACGCTAGCTGCATTTTCTCGCTGAATAGTTATGCTTAACCTTTGAGCGGGAAAAGAACCAGCTCTCTTGTCAGCAGCCGCGGCGTTAAGCCTAGGGAATAAACTTTTAATAAATTTTGATGTGCGGGGACCCCACTTACCTAAAGTTTCAACAGCAAATGGCACAAATACATAATTCGTTGGAGCAGATAGACAGCCAAGACCTTTCCTTGCCTCCTCGGCATAGGAAAGTTCTGAATTGTGATTAAGGATATTGTAACGACAGCAAGGAAGGCCGGACCACCAAAACGAATTGGCAACGAAGCTTGAGTCCAGCTTAGTTCATTAAGAGATAAATTTAGAAATTTATTTTCGTTCAAATAGTCACCGCAATTCGGAATTGGAATCTCTACTGCTCGTAATCCTGAATACAACCGTTTTCACTATTACATTTGTTAATTTAAAGTTTGTTATTAAACTAACATGTAAAGATATTGAAATAATGTCGTAGTGTAACTTATTTAGGTCGTTTGTCATCACTGTGTTTTATCTAGCTCGAGATAGTGAACGGGGGTTGAGTGGATACTTTTGTTTCCATTTCATTCACATAAAAAAAATTCCCCGCATGCTCCTCAATTTGGTGGTCTGGTCAGGTGGTTCATGAATAATTTGTTTTAAGGAGAAAATAAAACTTGTTCTCAGATATTATAACCGTGTATTGACCAGAAGTTAACTAAGTAAAGTTGACGGTGGTTGTACATACATAGTGAAGTGTAAAGGTAAATATATGTCAGAGGCAAACGGCATTATGCGACCAAACACAAAAATTAAAAAAAAAAAAACAATGCTTGGAGTGAATCATTGAATTGCTTTATTGGTTATGATGTCATATACGATTGGATATTTTGTTAATTAGGCGTCGTAGTACTTAATGCTTTGTATTTGTGTAGAATTTGTTCTTCCGATTTTAATGGTGTCAGAGAAATAATTTTCAAAAATGTCGAGTTACCTCTAAGGTACAGAATACAAGAATCGCAACTGCGTGCGCTATGGTTTTGTAAGGCGCTTAGCGCTTCAAAATGCCCCTGGGCGTTGAAAGCTCTTCTTCCGTTCTTCGATCTTGTATTTTTATCTTATCTTGTGTTTTTTTTTTTTAATTACATAACTTTACAAGACTGTGTCAGTAAAATCAGCCAAGGACTAACAGACTGAAAGCCATAACGTGAACTCAAGTGAAGTGAATATTGCTCAGCATTGTCACCATAACGACGACCTATTTATTCATAACGACGGTAAACAAGGTTTGTACAAAAAAAATTTCGCAGTACAAACGCATACTGTTTATTTTAATTTTCCTGATTGTAAAGAGTCAATTGCGGTGGGAGCATGCAACACTCTTCGGTGTTGCACGAATGGGCAGGATCGTCCGGGTAAGTATCACGACCTCACTGAAGACCTGAGTATTATGCTTATTAGAAATATTTAAGCGGATGTATTATACCGCATACTTGGGAAGTATAATACTATAGTAAGCCGTTCGTCTGGGCCAATTTATTAAAAGGTGGCAACCCATCTGCAACACGTAGGTGTTGCAAGTGTCAATGGGCAGCGGTTACCGCACGCTCGTTTGCCATATTCTCGCAAAAAAATTATAAAGTGAGCATGACATTTAAAGAAACCTTATTAGATATACACATTAAATATTCATAAAATCATTCTCTTCATCATTTCATTACAAAAGCTAGGCAAAAATAAACAACCAGGAGATATTCTTAGATATTTGAAACCACTTGTTTCTTTACCATTATTGTGTCATTGGCGATATCATAAGGGCCGCCAACTGCCTTAGAAGAAGAAGAACCTTATTAAGGCACTAATAATCTAATCGTAATAATCGGGAATCACTAAGCATAATTAGACCAACTGCTTTAACAAAAACAGTCGAATGTAGACTATGCCCTAATACCCTCTGCACAGAGGAGACGCTTGCCCAGCAGTGGGACGAATATAGGCTGTTACCTTACTATTTTTTAACTCTTTTGGCAAAAAGCAATATGTATGATTAATTTTATTTCTATTGTAAGTCGCTGCGCTCGCGACGAAACATAAAATGTGAACTTTGTAGATAAACGGACAAAAACTTTCAGCGCTCTCAACGCGCGATATTATAGAAAATTGTACTTTGTCAGATGAAGCTTTAATAGTCTCGGGACTGAAAGCAAAAATATCAGTTAATACAAGATACAAGAGATTATGTAATACTGGCGACCCGCCCCGGCTTCGCACGGGTGCAATGTATTATACAAGCTTCCTCTTAAATTCTATGTAGTGAAAAAAACCGAATCGAGATCAGTTGCTTAGTTTTAAAGATCTAAGAACACATAGGGACAGACAGACAGCGGGATGACTTTGTTTTATACTATGTAGTGAAGCGATGAGAACCGAGCCAAGATTGCATCTATCCAACTTCTTTAATGCATTTTTAGGAATGTGTGGCGCCATCTAGTATGCACAGTATGAAACAGCTTTCAAATATTTACGATGAATATTTCTAACGAGAGATGTGTTCGTAACGGGGCGGTTAAAAAATAAAACAATGGAGAAAAATCATTTAAAATTTTTATATTAAGTCTTAAACGCTATGTTATTTATTCTATATTAACAGCTAGCTTAATGTTACAAGTAAAAAAAAGAACTAGTCTAGTAATAATATATTACAACATTTAATCGCGGTCTTCTAAACGTGAATGTTTAAAAAACTGCATACATTGGAATTGTCCAACGCCACCGTGCAAAGGCTGATAAACGAAACGTCGGTATTGAAATGTTTACAATCGGTATACGAACGTTTACAATGCGTATGTGTATTTGTTTACACTCGGTAATAATATTAATAAATAAATTTAACTTAGATATATCCACTCATTAAGTGAACATTTTTGCATAGTAAGTAGTTTTGACATTTTATATGTATCATGATTCCGTTCGCCAAGTCATCAGCCAATGCGAGATGTCACATTAAACAAACAACAGAACGAAGAATTACCTAGAAATTTCACCGGCGATGATAGATTAAGGCAAGCAGTGTTTGTACATTAAAACCATTAGTCGATCGGTTAGTATGTATTTAATGAAATTATAAAAGAAACAATAAATCTGTTACCAATATACATGAAACGAAATTATGCAATATTACGACCGATTTGAGCAGACCAGTGCCCGATCTTGCGAATCATACCAAATGTATATATATATACAGTGTTGCTCTTGTATACACGTCGACGTAATGTCACAGCACAGTTCAATTGCGCTGTATAAATTTGTATATAAAAGATACATAATACGCATTTCAGCACTGGCAGTCGATATTTATCGCCGGCAAAAAAAAAGAAATAAATCCCACAGCCACGAACACTAATCAATTAAATTCAGTTTAAACTTAAGTGAAATGCATTACCCGTTGCCTACTTACTTAAGTCCCTTAAACTATATAAATATTTATATATAATTTTATGTATATATATTTGTTCCAAATATCTCGAAAGCTGTCGATCTGTCTACACTACGAGCTAATTGAAAAAGATGAAAACGCACCACAACTTTTCTCCAGACGCGTGATAGTAAAAAAAAACCAAAAATAAAAAAACAGTGCCAACCGCAAAAATCTGGGAACCAGGGTAATCTAGACCTTAATCTAAATTTTATCTAACTTTCCGTTAAAAATTTTTAACTCTGTAAAAAATCTGCTCTTTTAAAAATTTCCTCATATACTATCATTATTGCCATGACTCAGTGACGTATATAAATTGTTTGCAAACATTTGAAATTTGAAACATCGACACGTGTTTTAAATTAAACCTTGAACAGTTTGAAAAGCCGACCTTTCAAATTCCATATACAGCTTTTTAGTTTGTTCTTTTTCATAAACTGTTTAATATAAAAAGTCTCATTTACAATAAGATCGATAAATAGATGTATAAGAAAATGTGATACAATTTAAATCTAAGTCGACTGGCCCATTTCGCATTATTTCTCGCAAATCGAATACATTATGGTAAAGGTCACGACTTTGACAGATAATCAAAAGGCAAAAACCAAAAGACAAACGCTTCACGAAAATTCATAAAATTATTATTTATTTATCTTCTTAAATCGTATTATTCATCTGTCTGATAATTTTTTTTTCCAAATTTTGTACTCGCGTTGGACTACTACAAAGTTGCCTTACCGATTAAAAAAAATACATAAATTAATCATCGTAAAACTAAAACTGGTATATTTCAAGATCAAATCTACACACTGATAGCCTATGATACATAAATAAACTATTAACAAATCTATATTACACGTATCATAAAAGATAGGAAGGGAAGAAGGGGAAAATAATTCTTTTTCGAATACAGATAAAATATTGCACGATGTCGCAATTTAATCAGTCGTTTCAAGTATTAAAAATAACTTTCGCTAAATAACATTGTTACTTAATGTTTGTTAGTTTCATTTTTTTTTTTTAATTTATTACCGGGCTGCTATAATTCTGAAATTTGGTTAATTCGGAGGAGGGGAGCGGAAGGGAACACCAACTAGAGATACACTAAATAAAAATGGAATCTTATCGTTTGTATCACATATACTTTTCAGGCTTTGTTGGACTACGCAGACTCTTTTTATAAAACGGCCAATACCGTTCGCACATCGAAAGCCCGACAGGAAAGCTCGGCGCGAAACAGTCATTTACACTTGATGCACATACAATTGAGATAATTTCTAAAGTAAATATATAATTAAGAGCCAGAATAACAGTCCACGGAAGTTGGTCGCTACAAGCGTCCGAAGAGCGATTTCGGACGTGACTGTACACAGTTTGATCTTTTGTAATCCTGAGTTCATACAGTATACAAGTTACCCGATGTAAATGGAAACTAATTTAGACTCGTATACAACACGATTCACACATACCGATGCCCACATCGGGCGGCTCACGTAAAATACAAAAAGACACACGCGCAAACGTTTACACGCAACATTATGTTCACAAGTTTAAATGTTTGTCTGACTGTATCTAAACGATACGATTGAGACACGAAAGGGCATCGCGTACACCGCGACGTTCACGCGTGTAAACATTTACAGCCGGTAAGATCACGTAACGTGGTGCATGATGTAAACGTTTACACGCGGTAACATCACGAAACGCGGTGAATAATGTAAACGTTTACACGCGGTAACTAGTGTACGCTTTTACACGCGGAGAGTGTAAACATTTACACGCGGTAACAGGCGGCATACGGCCGGTGACGTCACTCGTAGTGCTTCGCCTTGCGGTCCGCCTCGTCGTCGGGGCCGCGATGCATCTGGTGGTCGGGGTGCTGCTGCATCTTCGGCACCAGCACCACGTTGCCGTCGGCCGCCTGCTGCAGCGAGTACTGGCTGGAGGAGAGCGGCCGCCCCTCGGGGTCGCGCAGGTTCTGCGGGGGGGGGGGGGGGGGGGGGGGGGGGGTGGGGTCAGTCAGTTCGGCTACGGCCAGCATTCCTTTGAAGTGATACCTCTTTAGGCGCGTTATGGGAAAATGATGGGAGTGAAATTCTAAGATGCGCGCGCATCACACAAGTCACACCTTTGAAGCTGCCCGCAAATTTTTATATATGGCAGCATGTTCTCAATCACATTTACAACTACAGTCCTCAATAAAGAATGTAGGTGGCGCTATTTACGCTTTTATTATTTTATTGTAATTATTAATTAATTTTGCATGCAATTAAAAACTATTTCCTAATGATGCCAAAAATGTATAACTTCTCACGCGAGAAGGTGACAAGCGAGCTTGCGTTTCACCCGACGTCAAGTGTGGGCATTTGCATCATCCTGTAGGTATGCGTTAACACATAAAATAAAGTGGGCTCCGGCCACCTCGCTCACTGCTGACGCTTCCACTCGCCCAGACAGACCCGCCCATTCGTGCGTTTTTTTTTTAATGTGTAAAGTTGCCAAGCGAGCAGGCGGTTCACCTGATGTTAAGTGAATACCGCCGCCCATGGACATCTGCTACAACCGAGGGTTGCAGATGCGTTGACAACCTTTTGACAACTGGGCCCCGGCCACCTCACCCACCAGACGAGGAAGTATTATACTCCCACTTTACGCCGGTCTTCTGTGAGGTCGTGGTACTTACCCGGACGAGCCTGCCCATTCGTGCAACAGCCGAGGCCGCTGCGTGGCCCTACCACAGTCGAAGCCCTTTGTGCGGGCGCTCACCTGGAACACGTGGCGGTACAGCGCCGCGAAGCGCTCCTTCACCCTCTGCCGCTCCGCCAGGAGGGCGCCACGATCGCGCTGCGTTCTCAACTTCCTGTCGCGTACGGAGCGAACCTCGTCCGCCAGCGAAGTGATCTGGTCGAGTTTCCGCTTGCGGCAGTTCTGCGCCGCGACCTGGTGACAACGAGAACCTGGTGTTAAACGGTGACTCTGGTGCGCAGTCGACGGTGTCGGCTTCGGCGCTGGCGGCCGTGGGTTCGATTCCCACACGGGACAAATATTTGTGTGTCAGGTGTGTGTGTGTTCAAGATCTCGAATATTTATGTGTGGCACAGGTAATTGTTTCGGATCTGGGCGTTTGACCACGTGAATTTTTTGTTTGTAAAGCGTCCTTACAACGCGGGATAATGTTATCCCACAGTGAGGGTATAGTTTAAAAAAAGTGGAAACAAAATGTTCAGCCTTCCAATCCAATTGAAAACGAAGTAATAAATGTTTCGCCGTACTAGACATATGTATATCGAATTTTAAAAAAACATTTAATTCAAAAACGGTATTTGACTCAATATAAAGTGTAAATATTTACGCCGAAGATTAATATACGTCAGGTATTTGATTGACTCTATGTGTTTTAATACCATTTGAGAATTGGAATAAGTAATAGGTAATCACCTTGTTCTTGCCACGACGCCGTATATCCCTGATGAGTGAGAGCTGCGCCTCGCTCAGGTCGTGCTTCGAGAGTCGCTCATTGAACTCGTCCATCGGCAGGTTGATAATGTCGTGCACCTCCATCGGGATGCCTGCGTGACGTCACAGCGTTAATACTCGATGTATACACTTGTATACAAAAGGCAAAGTATGGTCATAGTCTCGGTTTCACTCGGAGATTCGCTACCAAGTACGATCAGATCCAATTTGCATATATCGAGCCTATACTCAATCATATTGGTTAGAACTCGTATGTTTACATTCCGTAATATTAACTTATTTATATCTGGTGTTACTTGATCTTTGTTTCTTGTAGATTGTTTTTGAAAGAAACTTTTTTAACAAATCTCTTACTGGTTATAGTTAAAAGCGAGCCAAGCATGGAATTTATAAATCGCCTATTTGCGGCAGCCACCATATTGGGTTTAAAATGGCGGCATTTTGGTATTATCGTGCATTTTCACGAGTACCATAATGTCAAATTTCAGCTCAATCGGACACTTGGAGGAAGTTTGAATTCACCTTGGAAGATTCAATTACAGACACCGGGACAGTGATAATAAAATAATACCAATTCGGCCTGTATACATAAAAGTATACATATGTACATTAATGTCCGTTTGTAAGTTAGTTTGCGACACTCACCTAGTGCCTTCGCGCGTTTCTCATCTCGCGTTAGATGCTGCGACCCACTCGACCCACAGTCGGACGTGCTACCATCCGTCAACCGTCGAACTGTATACATACATACTTTGTTACCTTTTGTATATATTTACATTACACAAATTTTACACGTGGTCACGATCAATTCATAGAAACTACGCACACTAACATATTTAGGCATATTCGGAGGTGTAAATAATATCAATTATCGGATCAAAAATGATTTCGATTGTTATTCAATAAGATCGGATGAACCGGTGGGGTCGTTGATAAGCTATTGGCTTCCGCGTCGGAGATCGTGGGTTCGATTCCCACACGGGACAAGTTTGTGTGACCCGCAGAAAATTGTTTGGGTCTGGGTGTTTGTTACCCAAGGAGGGTTGACGTCAGGCATGTGGCCGTTTGTAAAGGCGTAGCGAAAACCGCTTACAGCATGATTCACATGTAGTGCCGACCCCATCTAGGTGGTATAAGGGCAGGAGGATGATGAATGTATAGTACTTAGTTTGTCTCGAGTGTCAGACTACGCTCTAATATCATACTAATATAGTCTGTGGCCCTAGTCCTAATGTGGCGCCACAGCAGGTCAAACTAGGTACTAATCAATAGTTATAATTAGTTACAGTAGGTACCTACTGTAACAAATTATAACACATACATAGTCTACGGCTTTCGACCGTATGATGCGTCACAGTGTGGTAGTATCTCGTTTGTCGCTGCAGTAGTAGTGTTGTGATTGCAGCGTAGTCTGTACACCGTAATACCACACCAAACCTGTGGCTGTATAACCTGTGGCTTTAATCCATATGAGGTGATGGTAATATTTTGTTATTAGCGAAATGTCAGACTACGCTCTAATATCACACTAATATAGTCTGTGGCTGTAGTCTGAATGAGGTGTCACAGTGTAGTAGCACCTACCTCGTTTGTCGCGAGTATTCTGTATACCCTAATACAATACCAATATTATCTGTGACTTTAATATGAGGTGCCGGTGTACGGTTTTGTAGTAGTACTTTGTTAGTACAATATCACACTAATATAGTCTGTGGCTGTAGTCTGAATGAGGTGTCACAGTGTAGTAGCACCTACCTCGTTTGTCGCGAGTATTCTGTATACCCTAATACAATACCAATATTATCTGTGACTTTAATTCGTATGAGGTGCCACGGTGTAGTAGTACTTTGTTAGTAGCGAATGTCGGACTACGCTCTAATATCACCCTAATATAGTCTGTGGCTGTAGTCTGAATGAGGTGTCACAGTTTAGTAGCACCTACCTCGTTTGTCGCGAGTATTCTGTATACCCTAATACAATACCAATATAATCTGTGACTTTAATTCGTATGAGGTGCCACGGTGTAGTAGTACTTTGTTAGTAGCGAATGTCGGACTACGCTCTAATATCACACTAATATAGTCTGTGGCTGTAGTCTGAATGAGGTGTCACAGTGTAGTAGCACCTACCTCGTTTGTCGCGAGTATTCTGTATACCCTAATACAATACCGATATAATCTGTGACTTTAATTCGTATGAGGTGCCACGGTAACGTCTGTGGCTGTAGTGTCACAGTGTAGTAGCACCTACCTCGTTTGTCGCGAGTACTTTGTTAGTAGCGAAATGTCGGACTACGCTCTAATATCACACTAATATAGTCTGTGGCTGTGGTCTGAATGAGGTGTCACAGTGTAGTAGCACCTACCTCGTTTGTCGCGAGTGTTCTGTATACCCTAATACAATACCAATATTATCTGTGATTTTAATTCGTATGAGGTGCCACGGTTGTAGTAGTACTTTGTTAGTAGCGAATGTCGGACTACGCTCTAATATCACCCTAATATAGTCTGTGGCTGTAGTCTGAATGAGGTGTCACAGTGTAGTAGCACCTACCTCGTTTGTCGCGAGTGTTCTGTATACCCTAATACAATACCAATATAATCTGTGACTTTAATTCGTATGAGGTGCCACGGTGTAGTAGTACTTTGTTAGTAGCGAATGTCGGACTACGCTCTAATATCACACTAATATAGTCTGTGGCTGTGGTCTGAATGAGGTGTCACAGTGTAGTAGCACCTACCTCGTTTGTCGCGAGTGTTCTGTATACCCTAATACAATACCAATATTATCTGTGATTTTAATTCGTATGAGGTGCCACGGTGTAGTAGTACTTTGTTAGTAGCGAATGTCGGACTACGCTCTAATATCACCCTAATATAGTCTGTGGCTGTAGTCTGAATGAGGTGTCACAGTGTAGTAGCACCTACCTCGTTTGTCGCGAGTGTTCTGTATACCCTAATACAATACCAATATAATCTGTGACTTTAATTCGTATGAGGTGCCACGGTGTAGTAGTACTTTGTTAGTAGCGAATGTCGGACTACGCTCTAATATCACACTAATATAGTCTGTGGCTGTGGTCTGAATGAGGTGTCACAGTGTAGTAGCACCTACCTCGTTTGTCGCGAGTGTTCGGCCGCGGCTCGGCGGGCGGTAGGGGGGCGCTGTAGGTGTGGTTGTGACGCACTCGCTCGCCCGACGGCAGGCCGTAACGGTCGGGCGGGCTGGCAACGCCGCCCTGACACGACCAAACAATGATTCAAAAAAAGAACACTCCGTAACATATTCGATTTTTTTTCTGTGCATTTCGTTTCTCCTTATGGCAATGACAAGTGAAATGAGTGAAACAGTGGTTTTGCTGTAGGAAATTTATTTCATTCGAAATTTTAATTAAAAAAAAAAAAGTCCGAAGTGGGGTCGTGCGTGGCCCTGATACCGTCTGTACAGAGTTGGCCTACGCCCAACAGTGGGTAACATAGAGGTTGCTAGTAGTATGGTAGTACTTTAGTTCAATTTAATTATTCCACCGCCAGAGTCTAGGTACTGTTTTAAAAAAAATAGTAGATAGAATTTTTTTAAATATCAAGCAAACCAATTTGTTACTTTCGAACTATATGTGTTTTATAGACACGTGGTCAAGGCTACATTATCGAAGCATCACTTACAATCATCACAAGATTGGTTAATAAGTACGAACTTTGTTAAAGGATGAGTTTAATGCGTGTTAAATATTCTCTCTGAGCGCGGTTGTGGTCTATAACGGAGGTATTTTAACAGCATTCGACCGCTTCTCACCTGCAGCAGGGTCTGGCTGGAGTGTGCCGCGTTCAAATCCAAAGCTGGTTGCAGGGTAGGCGGGTGCGGTGGCGCTATTTGGTGGCGGGCGTTGAAGTCCACTGAAAACGGGAAAGCCGGTCAAAACTACAATTGGAAAACGCAATACTCCCAGAACGAATTGTCTTTCCCAGAAAAAATATCGTTATTCAATATAGAAGAATTGCATTTACTTATTGATTGTCAATAAAACCGTTTAAAAACTTTAAAGTTAAACGGTTTTATTTAAGGGGCACTGAAAACTACAACATTGTATTGTCATCTAAATTAAATGTGTGTACCAAATTTCAGATCAATCTGACAACGGGAAGGTGCTTAAATTTCAATTTCTAATTTTGACCCAAATAAATAAAGAAATAAATTCCGTACGGGTCGAGCTAAATAAAACCGTTTAAAAACACTACTACCGGTTCGGAAAGAAATCCAGTGAGTAAAAAGGATCGGCGAAAGAAACTCAGTGGGAATTTTTTTTTTCAAAATTTGTTAAAAAATATAACAAACATGTATACAATTCAATTCCACTTGAAAGAGCCTGCAGCGATCAATACATTTCCAGAGTGTGTTATCATTTAAACAACCACTAAATACTATTAAAGCCTCTAACACACAAACGTTCCTTTACCAAGTTCCTTTATTGAACCAAGTAGAATCTTCTTTCATCTCATTTATTTTATTTTTATTTTATTGTTGTAACAAAATCCACAGCACTTTTTTTAAAATATATCTAAATCTTATTACTAAACCTTAAAGCCAATTTGGATTTACATTATTCTGCTAAATAATTTAAATTACGACAGTAGAAAACATGAAAACTTTTGATACTTAGGCATTATTATGGATTATTTTTTTTTTTAAAGTACCTCTGATGTTTTTTGGATCTTCCATGAATGGAAATTAGATCCTCAAGGATTCTACTACAACATCGAAGATATTATTACACAAAGGCTACATATAGTGTGTTCCTTTGATTGAATTACAAACGTGTATACACTTCTACATCACGTCTTTTAGGCCACGGTCAAAACGGCCCGTTCATGCAGAAGGGACTATTGTGTTCAAGTCTTTTAGTTTATCAGTGCTATAGCATGAGGGAATGATTGATCATCTGATGTGTTCTTGTTCTTTGTCTTACTTATGACTCACTTGAGTCAATGAAAGGAATCTCATAATCACAAATCTGATATCGGACCTTATCAGATTTGTGGCCAGTCGATAATAACCTGATAAGAAGCGATATAGACTACAAAACTTTATTATGTGCCTATATCGTCTATACTAAATTAATTTATTGGCAACTTTTCTCATTATTATTATAATATTTTCACTTCATCAGTTTAGAAAGCAAAGACAGAAGACTGCAGATTCAATGAATGAGAGGAGTCCATTTGGACTACGTAACGCTCCGAGCACCTTCCACAAACGATTTCTTTTTTAAATAAAATTAATAAAATGTAATTGTCCTTGTTGTCGTTGTTTTAAATTGGCGATAAGTAGAAATTCTCACGAGCTGTCGATAATGGCAACTCCAAACGGCTCACACATATGACGGTGTACCTAGAAATAAGGGTCAAATCGGAAAAAATAGGCACTTACCGTTGTGCATATGCAAGGCGTCGTGATGGTAGGTCTGTTCGGGACATTCGTACTTGACCACGCCGGGGCCGCGTGACAGAGGCTCCAGGGTCGGAGCCGGCTGTTCCTGGAATGATGGCATTAAGACTAAGAAAAGAAACATAATTTCTCTTTCTAAAACCCATATGTAAAAAAAAATTCCCAATAGACGCGAAGGGGCTTCCAGAGATTTCAACGCGGACGCATCGGAAACAATTATGCGGGTTTCTTGCAAACGAATTTGCGTAATACGAACCATCAACTCGTCAACAATTATTTCGCTATTATATGAAACAAAACCAAAAGATATAATTAATTAATGGCTTGCGTAAAAATATTTAAATTTCAGCATATTCACAAACCAACATTTCATCGCTTATCAGGAGTAAAATCGTATATTAGCGGATACGATAGACGAAAACTAGATAGTAGAATCCTATTCAATCCTGTATAAATATCGAACCATGAGTTTCATCGTTGTAAATGTTTGCAAAATAATGAAGATTTATAGACAGAGTTCTAAAGTCTTAACATCAATTGTGTTTGTATGATAAGAGTTCTGTTTGTACAAGAATTGTTGTTATTTTAATACCTGGAAACATCTCTTTCCGAACATGTGGTGCTTCTTTTGTGGCTGGTGGGACGCCCTCTCCCTGGCATAGGCGCCATCGTACGGACGGAATTTTGAACTGGAAAGAGAACGTGGATTATGAAGCAATTGATGCCTCCATGGCGCCGTCGCCAAGGTATCGGCTTCGGCGTCGGGGGTCGTGGGTTCGATTCCCACACGGGACAACTAATTGTGTGACCCGCAGATAGTTGTTACGCATCCGGGTGTTTCGTCCACGTGTGTTTTATGTTTGTAAAACTTCTTTACGATACAGGATAATATTATCATATAGTAAGGGCAATTTAAAAAAGAAATTGTTCCCTAAGTTGAACTTTTTATCAAGCCACGACTGGAACATGTTGGATTGACACTGGACCTAGTTTGGACTTGAACGTTACGATGAAATGTTAATAAATGTATCAAACAGAAGACGCCCGTTTAAATCAATCGCCCATGGGCATCCGAACCACCTGTGGTTGCATGTCAATACCCAAGGTGACCTCATCAAGTATCGAAATGCAAAAGTGTATGATGCTGATTCATCGCAAACGTTTAACGAGTTACCAACGGAATAATCGAATGGAAAAATTAAAGAGTCACTGCAATTCTTTCCGAGCATTGCGCGGTACGTATATATTTAAACGTGGCGAGTGTCTCAAAATGACTTGACAAAAAACCGAAGCAATCGGGCACCGGACGTGTGAGTTTTCAATTGATACAGATTAGATATACATACTGAATTAAAAGACGAGGTTTAAAAATATTGCACACGCGCCAATTATAACGTTCGTGGTGATTAGGATTCGATAATGTGCCATCACAAACTCTTTGGTTATCATATTTCGATGTCATGCAATAACAATGAGCTACATGTAAGAGACATTGGAGGCTCAAACAGATAATTAATTAGATAAAACAATCGTGGATGTGTGTCAACTATAGATAAAATGGAATAACGTAAATTTATTACATCATAAGAACACCTTACTAAGAACCTTACAAATCTATTATGATTTTTCGTATTTATGTATTGTATTTTACAATTACTACGACATATATTATTAGATGAAAGAGTTTTGGAAAGAAGATACTAGCCAAAGTAGTGGAGGACATTCTGAGTAAATCATATAACACATCCACTAGGATTAGTCTAACTGATAAATGTAAATGTAGATACGTAGATAGATAGTAGATGTATTTTTGGTAGAGGCAAGGTGTGTAAGGGGCGGTTAAATGGAGATCAGTAAACTTTGAAATTGTCACGTTATTTTGTTTGTTAATTAGTTTAAATTTAAATCTAATTCCTGTTCTCGTCATCTGTTATCTGAAAGACGTGTGAATGTCTTTTGATAAAAGGCGTTACGAATGACAAAGGAATTTTTCAAGAACAAGACGAAGAAGTGCCGACACCTGGCATCGAACTCAGGCTGCTCGGGTACATTAAATTAAAGGCGAGCGCCCGGACTATGAGCTATCACGGCTACAAGTAATTGTATATTGCATTAAAATAGAAATGTTATTTTAAGTCCGCAAATCCGTGGGGCCGCGTGGTGGTCTATGCCCTGATACCCTCTGTACAGAGGAGGCCTTTACCCAGCAGTGAAAATTATTATAGGCTGATACTTCACTTTTACTTTTTTTTCAACAATAACTTATATTACAATTATTAACTACAGAAGCAGTACTTAGTGTACAACTCGGTACTGCTTCTGTAGTGTTGTGATGATGTATGATGGAAAAAAGTAAGTCATATTTTTTTTCTTACCAGTGGCCATCGCCATTTGGGTGTGGTTGTGCGGCGGGACGTGCTGAGCCCCGTCCAGCATTCGCATCGTGTACATCCCTGGAAAGAACGGTCCAGGTTAAAATTCCGCAGCACATTTTTTACTGGGCTTGATGAGCCTTTACAGTTTCGACGGACTTGAGGTGGCCTGGAGCACGGGGCGCCTAGCCTGATGAACCTCGGCGTATTATTATTACGCGTTATGGTGACTAAGCTCGAGGGCTCCCGAGGGAGCCTCGGCTCAGGCCGTCACGCTATTACTATCACCGGTTTGGGAGGCCGTCAAGCTCTTAGGGCACTTCGGCGGATGCTCTATGGAGTGACTAGGCTCAAGGGTCCCCGAGAGGGGACCTCGGCTTGGGCTGTCACTCAAAACGCGTTTAGCATTCCGATTCGAGGCTGCCCGAGAGGGCTGGACCTCGGCTCGATCGGTAGCTATTCTTTGACTGGGTCCGCAGTACACCCGCAGTACACCGTCTGCAACTCTGGGACTGAGCAAAATCGTATGGCATATCGTTATGAGACCTCATTCTTGAACGACAAATGGTACTTTGAAAGATAAAAACCCGATTGACGTAGTGGGTAATGGACCTGTCTCCCGCGCCAGAGTTCGATCCCCACTACTGGAAATATATTGTGGGATGCACGTAGTGTTCTTCAAGTGTCTGGGTGTTTATATATCTATAATACGCATTAATTTACAAAAGAAAAATATGTTTAAGTATGTTTATCAGTTACCGCATTAATTTACAAAAAAAAGATAAAAAAACATTTTAAGTAGATTTGCTGTGCGCATTGCGAACTAAGGTCTCCTAGTTCTGTAGTCTCCTTGTAGACAACAAAAGCCAATTTGGGATGGCTTGCACGTCATACAGAGAAGGAATAAAGGAGTCGGTGGACCACATGTATAGGAGTATGGCATCTAACATTTTTCATCAGAAATACAAGTGAGTTAGTGAATTAATATATTAAAATATGTAGAAAGAAAATCAAAGAAAAGTTTCTCGCCGCTGTGGGAATCGAACCGAACGTCTTCGAGATTCGCGCCCTGACGCTCTAGCCACTAAGCTAAACGGCTGATTGCCACACCGACGAAATTCTCAACGTCCTTTATCTACACTGCTTTTCAGCATTTGAAGCAATGCTTGGCGCATCCGTTGTTATATCCTTTCCAGCATACAAACTAAAAATCTATGTTTGTGTGAATTTGTTTGTGTGAATTAATCTATGTTTATTTTGAACCTCGTGGATACCGTGACTTGCAGATTTGACTGTATAAATATAGATTTAACACTCATGGTCGCCTCATTCAATACTAGCTATCCGCCCCGGCTTCGCACGGGTGCAATGTGTATATAAACGTTCCTCTTGAATCACACTATCTAGTAAAAAAAACCGCATCAGGTTCCGTTGCGCAGTTTTAAACTAAGCATATATAGGGACAGACAGACAGTGGGACAGTGCTACTTTGTTTTATACTATGTAGTGAAGCCATCGTGTGAGTGATAAGTGGACGCGAATTCTAGGCCTGAATGGAAATGATCGTCAAGGTTTTTTGCGGCGATAAGTTTGTCGTACCTGTTACCACAGTTTAGGTTAGGTTTTTTTATGTATAAAAAAACATTGCCCTTACTTTAGGATAACATTATCGTGTGTTGTAACGTTTTTACAAACATAAATTTCACGCGGACAAACACCCAGATGCGGAACAACTCTGTGGGTCGCACAAACGGTTGTCCCGTGCGGGTATCGAACCCACGTCCCCGACGCCGAAGCCCGATACGTTAGCAACTGCGCCACGATGTCGTCTACTTTGAGACCGAACCTCCTGCCGATTAACCTTGTCACGAGTTCATCGCCGTGCGGAAGATGTGACGCGAGCATTTGTCGGACCAACAAACAGTACCGGCGATCAGAGGGCCCCGGCGTATCGTTTTACGGTGGCAGCGCCACGCAGCAGCCTCGGCTGTTGCACGGATGGGCAGGCTCGTCCGGGTAAGTACCACGACCTCACAGAACACCGGCGTCAAGTGAAAGTGTAATACTTTCGCGTTCTGTCTGGCGAGTGAGGCGGCCGGAGCCCAATATTCAAAAAGTTGTCAACGCATCTGCAACCCTCGGGTGTGGCAGATGTCCATGGGCGGCGGTATTCACTTAACATCAGGTGAACCGTCTGCTCGTTTGGCAACTTCTCGCATTAAAAAATCTGGAAGCGACGAGATCGCAGCCGTGCGCAAGAGATGACACGTGGCTTTCTGGCCAATCAAATATTACGGTTTCCACTGCGCAAACTAATCTCCCGTCACCGTGACTCGTTAGTTTCACGCTATCGCTGAATAAATGTATGTCATGTGATGCAGTGAAAAAATAACATATAAACCCGCGATAAGGGGCCCGATAAAATCCAATTGAGACATAACAATTGGCCGTTGTGACGGAGAGAAAAGAAAATATCAATCGGCGATGGAATTTTACAATTTTTCTACTCAAGTCACGGTCTGTAAATAAACGGACGTGGAAAAATAAATAGATTTCAGCGGAGGGCGGAATATTCAGGCTCGTGAACTGGTTTTATGGAAACAACAACATTGGGTGTTTTGTTTATTTCCAAATTCATAAAGCATATCTATCGATACGGCGTTGTTTTTATCAACGATTAACTAATATCGCGAAGTTATGAAATTATTTTTCCATACTACGCAGATAACGAAAGCGATTAACGTGTGACATTGACAAATTCCAAGAAACAAAAACTGTTATTATTCTTATGTATGGTCGATTTAAAGGCGTCAGTACTGAGATCAGTGATTTTTGCGCGATTTTTTCAAATTTGGAAAAGTAAACCTCTTATACGCTTTTAAAAAGGTAATACATAAGATTAAGTTGAACAAGTAAAATAAATTTTATGCACACTAAGGGCTCATTTTCAACAGTCATCGTGACATTAAAATAACCCGAATTTCACGATTGTCATCTTTAATTGCAAATTATTTAATTGAATGATTTACTATCAACCCGTGTCATTCACAAAGTCCATTCAATTGACGACAGATCCGCTCACTCGTTCAAATTAAATTGGTAAACTAAGCTAATAAAGATTTAATAAGCGTAAGTATAAATAACTAATTAATAATTTCTTGTATTTACGCCATTAAACATTATTAAATTAAACTATATTTACAGATTTATCGTTTATTTTTAAATTTTTAGGATGCGCGCGCACACCGTCACGAAAAACCGACACCCTGAAGTTAGCTAGACATCCACGTATGTTTGCGTGTGCACTGACAACCGTATTTACGATATTTATTTTGTGATATTTAAATAGACTTCATTTAACTAGATAATGCGTTATAATAAAACTTTCAACGTATTAAATACCTTTTTTCTATTGTTAGTGTCGTTTTTTCTACAAACGTAGAATAAGGCGAAAGATAAAATGTTTGAAAAGATTTTTATCTTGTTACACCAGAGAAGTATAACTTCTAACGGGTGTACACAAGTACACACACACTTTTTTATGTAATAGTATCATAGTTTAATTCTATATTTTGCATTTCGTCAACTGACACGTCGAAAACCATCGACATGATACCGCCGCTCCGTACATTGGATAAATTTTCCACGCCGTCATCGCAACTCACGAGAATGTGTCGAACGCGAAATCATCGTTTCCGCCAATCCAGCCATCGTCACGGTGATGCGGCGCTTTGAGCTATCGACGGATTACCGCTTGCCGCAGATAGCGGCCCCGGTGGCGTTATCGAGCGTTGGGAGCGAACAGTTGCGCGAAATCGAACCGAACGAGGAATCGACACATCGGCCGCCACGCCAAGATAGGTACCCGAATGTGCGAAATCGCCACGTCGAGATAAATCCCCGGACGCTTTCGGAACGGAGTGCCTTGTCGCACGGCGCGGATTCGGGGGCCAGTCGGAAAAAACCGGACTCGCGCACGAATGGTTCCGTACCACTCTCCGTAAAAGTGGCAAAAGAATCAAGCTCGTAGTACGGGAGCCCCGCTTAAATACGATACGGATTTGGCGGATGGCGGCTGGGCGAAAACACTTATTTCTTAAGCTATTGCATAGCTTTTATCGCGGGCTTTGAGCGCGGCGACCAAATCAAGAAATTCCCTAACGAAAAAAACCTGACACCCCCCACACCATGGTACCATGTTTGTATATGGTACGACTGGACGAAGCTCGCACGGACGGATATTATAATATGATATTATATTGTCATATGATGATATGATATTTAGAGGATATCAAGTCTCAAACTTATGTTTCTTATTTCAGTTACCATAAACCTATAGATTCAATGATAAAAATTACTGAATAAGCTTCATGTATTGCAAGTTAATAAAAATATTTTAAGCGATATTAACTTCTCATTTATTCAATAAAAGAAAAAAAAAATTGCTTTCTTATCGGTCAGCACGCGCAAAACGTGTAACTTGAATTAATATCAAAGAAAAAAAAATACTGCATAAATAAATAATTATAAATGCATAAGTTGATAAAAAATGCTATGCAATAGCTTTACCGCGGCAGTTGCCGAGTGCCATTTTAATTTTTGAATGTAAAGTTGGTCATCACCACATAAAATAAGGTGTGGAGGTGACTACTACACATATTAATAATGATAATTATTATTTCAATAATAAATCTTTTCAAGAATTACTACTGTATTTGAACACGCTCCAAGAAATTCTGGATAAAGGGGCTTGCTTAGCACTGGGATTTATCAAACATGACAACTATGTCGCTTATAGTAAAAGATAGTGACGGTCTTAAATATATACAAACATACTTGTCAGTTGTGTTTTGACAAGTTAAGACACGATAAGTTTAAATTACGTTACATTATTACATTTTTTATTAAATACATTATTGTAATGCTAAAAATATCTTTTGCTAATAAAACAAACATAGTATGTTTTAAGCAAAAGAACTCTCGCATGCCACCTTCTCACATACCTCGTTGGGTAGGTGCAACTTATTATGCGTTGTCTTAAATGGATGATGTTTCATCGAGATTCGGTTCGGACCTTGACCCCCGATGGCCTTTGACCGTATTTGTTGTTGGCTGGGTGAAGATAGAAGTGCTATAGAACGCGGGTGTACCTTGTGTACGCGTTGTGTTGGTAATGCCGTGCTCGTAAGCGTGGGCTAACTAATTGTGTATAGTGTATATGTGGGTATAGTGTTGTCTGTACATACCTACTTATTTGGCGGGCCGCGCGACAGGACCGACCGGAGAACGACGTGAGGTGTAAGTAGTACACTATATTGGCAGTTAACATCGCGTGAACCGCTTGTTTGTCATATCGACACATAACAGCAACATGTTAGAAGACGTTTGCAACCGACCGCTTTAAGATCTAGAAATTCAAAGTTTTCTATAGTGCCAATCTCTACACTTGAGATTCCCACAGCGGCGGCAATCTTTTCGTAAATTTTAAAAGTTTTAACCTTTACGATCTAATTTATTGCAGCGAAGACTTGGTAGGGCCAAAGGTGCCAGCACTGTAGTCGCGGGCTTATAGAATAGGGCTAAGGTAATTGCCTGCCTGTCGTAAAAGGCGACTAAAAGGGGACACGGATTGGCAGCTGTCTCGAGCTGCTGCAAGATGGTGAGGGAACCGGGGAGGCTATCCTTCTCCGGGGAGTGCTCACGCGCAGTACTGAGGGACACCGGTGCCTTCCGTGGGGGATCCCGGAGTCCCTCCAAACGTACAGTGGGCGGCCACCGAGGGGGTTTTAGTGGGTGAGAACCTGCGCATCTGGCTAATCCACGAGTCCTGCTATCAAGTTTGATCAGTCTACAGACTGTAGTGTTCCAAGTATCACTGCGCGGCTGGGCTTATCAGATAGCGGCAGCCACGCTTGGTGTGACTGCAAACGTGATACGAGCTCCAGGATACTGGCGTCTGCTCCACGCGGAATAAGAAGTAGGTGTGTCGATTAAGATAATGGAGGGGGCATCACTACATAGTATAAAACAAAGTCGTACCCCCTATGTATGCCAAGATCTTTAAAACTGCGCAACGGATCTTGATGCGATTTTTTTTACTAGACAGAGTGACTCAAGTGGAAGGTTTATATGTATAATACATTGCACCGGAAGCCGGCGCGGGTCGCTTTGTACGTTGATGGTGAAACGACGGATCGCGTGTGTCCACTACGTTTGTAACGGTGTTTCCTCATCGTATTTGACAAATTAGCAATGCTTAGTGCGATAATTAATTCGATGTTTCGAATTGTACCGGAATCCTCAGTATAAGTAGGATGGTTCACCATAAAAGTCAAGTTATACGATACAATTGAATGGGAGCACAATCATCACGGGCATTTCAGCCTGTTTGTGTCCACTGCTGAACATAGGCCTCCCCCATAGACTGCCACGAAGTACGATCCTGAGCCACCTGCATACAACGACTTCCAGCACATTTGCACATGCGATACATCAATCTTACATTAATTTACACAATAAGTGTAAAATAATGTAACTTAATTGTAACTTAATCTTACATTATTTTAAACAATTTGTGTAAAATAATGTAAAGATTAAGTTAAAATGTAAACGCTGAATGGAATTTGGGAAAATATTTGTATGTGTATAATATTGGCTCATTAAATTTGTAAAGTTATTTGATTATTTGAAAACGGGACGAACGCATTAACTAGCGTGATATATGTGGCGTACAACGAATGTGTTCCTTAAGCAAAACATATGTGGTATTATATCTGAGTACACTAGGCGGATGGGTAAATAAAATGGGTGTTTTTCAAGTTTACAACGGAGATAAGAGGTGATACAATTAACCTTATTATTGTGTGCGAAGCAGATTTATTGGGTGGGTGGAGGAGGGGAGGGGGAGGGGGGGGGGGGGGGTACGCGCTCTCGCCTACGCGTGATTAGATCCGTCTGCAAACACTCGGATCACCGCGGCGTCTGTTAGTCACGCGGACGATCGCGACTCGACTCACCATCGTACAGCTTGTAGTAGGGGCCGAGGTAGTCCGGGTACAGCACCGGCCCCAGGTACGGCGCGATCGGGTACAGCGCCCGCTGGCACTGGTACGGGTGGGCGACGCTCAGGTCCATATCCAATCCGGGCAAATCGGCGCGATCCGCGGCCCTTAAGCTCCGCTCCAGCGCCGGTCGAGTGCACGGTTAGCCGGTCTCGCGCGGTGCGCTATTATTTCTATTTCGGCCCGGCCGATGCGATTAGTGTCGCGCTCGCTTTATCGACGCGGGCCCTTATCGAGCGCAGGAGGAGCGTCGATAATTTTGGTGTCGTGCCGCTTCGCTTCGCCCGCCCCCCGCGCCGCTCGCCATTCAAGCGTGTTTACAAACAAGCACGCTCACGGTGTGCAAATGTATTTTCGCGGGGGAAAATCTTCAACTGTTTGCGTCGCGATAGCGAACGGGCGCTGTTAAGCCCCGTTGAGGCTTGTGCACACTAGCGTGATCCCCCTTTGTCTCCGTGCGGCTTATCACGGCCGTTCTCGAACAACACGGGCCGTGGACTCCGCCAGGGGTCGCGCGGGGGCGTTCAGATCTTCTCGCACTCTATCCGGTACTTGAAGGACCACAGGCAGAAGTTGTATCTCTTCAGGACGGCGACCGGCACCTTCGTGAGCGAGTCGCTGGTGGTCTTCTCGCGTCGGAGAGCACAGCAGAAGCGGCACAGGCACAGGCAGCAGTCTGCGTTGTGCTCCTTTCTAGACTTCACCGTGCGGCTGTGCAGGAAGTATGGCATATGTAGGCCTTTGGACGACGCGATCCGAAAGGGGCACCCGGGGTCAAGGGAGGTGGCACGCGACGTGAAAAACGAACCCGCGCAAAAATACCAAACACCGAATAGAGTAAAATGCTGGCGGGCACAGTTCAAACGGTCTCTCCGTTCGATTCCAACTGAGACAATGTCGATGTACCGTCCTTTCGCGTGGCAAGAAGCCTTCAAACAGTTCACGATCTAATTATACGAGCAGCGATTGCATAACGAATAGTCGGTAAACATAAGAAAAAATTCCCATCTTGTATTACGTAACTTATTGGCACACAGAAAAAAAAACAAAATCGGACACCGGCTGAAATCCGAACGTTCACGGGGCGACTATCACGAAAAACGAAACGAAAGCGAAACGCGCGCTCAGACCGTCCACAGAGTATAACGCAGCGGCTGTCAGTTTGCGCGGGAAAATCGCAGAGCGTTATGGCCGCGGGCGGGTCGAGAGCTGTCTATTATTCCCGTCGCGAGGCAAACACCGCTATCTCGGTGCACCGAGTAAATATTTATGAACACGCTCGTGGCGTATGACGTGGTGGTCAGCCATTTTGTCGGGCGGACGTTCGCCGACTGCAGCGTGGAGGCACCGCTAGGCCGGGGTTGACCAGATTCGGCCAGATAAGGCGGTCTAGATTTGCACGCGGCCTAGTCCTCGTAGGCGCGAGCGGACGATGCATAGGTCTCCGTGTATCCCGGTCCGGAATACGATCTCCGCGCGTGATACACAATAATATTTTTTTATTTCACCTGAAAAGTTTACAAGCGAGCGGTTCACCTGATGTTAAGTGAATACCGCCGCCCGTAAACATCTGCTACACCCGAGGGTTCGCAATGCGTTACGTAATGTACGGGACGCGTTGTATTGACGCGAGAAATATACAGTTCATTTACTTTCGTCATTTTTTAAATCTACCGCCGATTCGTAATGAGGTTCCTCTATCGGAGAAGAAACAGGCGAAAGAAGGAACTCCATAGGTATGCTCTTTTTTGTCCTTTTTTTTATTTCCCATTATCTCATTCCCAAGGGTTGTTATCGTTAATGTATTCATTTATATTATACTAACCCTTTTTAAAAAGTTTTTCCTTAATAAATTTCTTAAACCTGTTAATAGATAGGCTTTGCACATTAACTGGGATTTTGTTGTACAAGCGTATACACCGTCCCACGAACGAGTTACTGACTCCATGGAGTCTAGTAATTGGCGTTACAAGCTCGTGTTGGTTCCTTCCACATCCTTCAAAATCTTCGTGTGGTCCGTTGCGTGTTATTGTTCGTATTCAGGAGTACACGCTAGGTTACGAGTGTTTCTTCCAATTACAATCAGCCAATCTGGTCGGTATACGGCTGCCAAGGTCAGTCAATCACTATAGCATTAACCAGTTAAGACCATTAACGAGTTTTCATGCATATTAGAATACTAGCGACCCGCCCCGGCTTCGCACGTGTGCAATGTATTATACATATAAACCTTCCTCTTGAATCACTCTATCTAGTAAAAAAAACCGCATCAAGATCCGTTGCGTAGTTTTAAAGATATAAGCATACATAGGGACATACACAGACAGACAGCGGGACGACTTTGTTTTATACTATGTAGTAAAACTCAAGGTAATCAAGTCTCCTCGTCAAAGAGCCTTAACTCAACTGCGAAATCACTTTCATGTTGTAGGTTCAATAACGTTCTATTAGGTGACGTCCACAAAGAGTTGTAAACAATTTCTATTTTTATAGAAAGGGCCTGTTGTAACGTAGAATACATCGAGGATAAGGACGTGTGGAAATGACTCTTGCTCTGCAATTACAAGACTTGGCTGCCGCTGATTTTATATTATGGTCATTACACGATCCAATTGACCTTCAGAAGTAGGTCAGAAACTCGGCTTTGATCGATAGCCATTAGAAAATTAAAGAAATCATTGCATCTCTGCCTATTTACGTGGAGAATTAAAGACATGATGTTTCTTTTACGTGAGAAGGTGGCAACCGAGCTGGGGGCTCAGAGACACCTGCAACACCCGTAGAGTTGCAGATGCGTTGCCACCTTTTAATATTGTGGGCCATGTTTGCCTCGTAACCAGACGAAACGCAGAAGTGTAACACTTCTATTTCACACCGATCTTCGTGTTGTGTGGACCTACCACATTACAAAAAATTGTACGTAATATTCCACCAAAATATCCATATTACATCGAAACGTCAACGTGTATTTTATAATGTAAACAGTTATTATATCAAAGCGATGTTTGCCGATGGCTTTTGCGCGTCGAACGTTTGATCAAACATTTGCATTTACGTCAGCCGTGAACCAACAAAGTGTTAACTGCTTGACAAACATCGTCTGGGCGCTAACAATGGATAAATGTCTAAATATCCATAAATATCTTTGACAGATAAAATACACGTTATAGGCTTTATTTATAGGATTTCGACGGAAATGGAAAAGCCAGATATCCAGTTTCAGATTGATGAAGAAATTCTAATTTCAAATTCAAATATCTCTATGCAATGACGAGACATTACACTTGCACATTGGTTGCCGAAATACTCCTACCGGTTCGGAAAAAAGCCACTTGAGAAGAACCGGCGAAAGAAACCCATCGGGACATTATTTTAATCATATTTGACAAAAAAAAAAAACGGGGCAAAACTGCCGATGTAAGTGAAAACTAAGTTTTTTTTATGTGAGAAAGTTGTAAACGAGCTGGCGGTTAACTTGATGTTAAATGAGAATCGCCGCCCATGGACATTTGCAACACCCGTAGGGTTGCAAACGCGTTGCCACCTTAAAATAAAGTCGGCCCTGGCCACCTCACTCACCAGACGAAACGCAGAAGTGTAAAACTTCTACTACGCTGGTATTCTGTTAGGCCGTGGTAATTACCAGTTCGGGTAATAACCACGGCCTGCCCATTCGTGCAACAGCCGAAGATTTTACCTACCACAGTAAAAGGATAAATATTATTAAGTTCAAATAAATGTTAATAATTATTGTTTAGTTAAAAATTATCTATATATATATATATATATATATATATATATATATATATATATAATAATTATTAATGTAAATAAAAAGCGTTCTGTGACGATGAAGCAAGTTCTATGATTTTTTGTTCTCGCTCTGTATTCATTTTATAATTGATTTCCCGAAGTATCTCCGGAGCCCAAGATCCAATACCAATGAAATTAATATGGGACCACGTGGGAAGCACCAACTTTCAAATAAAAAAAGAATCATCAAAACTTAGTCAAAAGTTCTGAGGTAACAAACATAAAAAATAACAGTCGAATTGAGAAACTCCTTCTTTTGACGTCGGTTAAAAAGTGCTCAAGGGCTCCTAAATAAGTTTTCACTTCAAAGAAACATATTTCCAATATATTAAAGTTCGGAACGTCCAGTAAATTAGATTTTTTTTCTATCAGAGCCCGTGTTTTTCAAACCATTTTCTAATTGCTCATCTTGTGTTCTTAGTGAATGACAAAATTTGGCGCGAGTTAATCCAGAAGTGTTACATCGAACTGATAATTTCTTGTTATGATTACATTGGATTGTATATTTATTTTTCATTGTAAATATTGTGCGTGTTACTTGAGACTGCTATTGTAAGGATGATTTATAAATGAGGTAAAATAGTAGATCAATAAATAACAACATTTATTGTCGTGTTGGTAAAATAATTCAAGAAATGTGGTAAAATTTGATAATTTACCCAATTAACCTGTATGATATGATTTTGTATACAATTTATTACATTATTATTATTAAGTGAATAAAATATAGTACCTGGAGGACCGAGCTTTGCTCGGTTTGTTCTTTTTTTGATAAATCGTGTATTTTGGAAATTACATTTAGATACAAATTACTAAGTAAAGAAAAATGCATAATATGTCTCGATCTTACCGACGTAACAATAAGAAAATATCAACTGGTGCTTTTCGCAAAAGAAAGAACTTAAAAAAAAAGGGAAAAAAAAAATAACAAAATAACAAATCGACAAAAAATAAAAGATAAAGAAAGCAATGATCTGGAATCAAAAAAAGTAAAAAATTTAGTATGATCGTGATACGAACCACGGCCTGCTTCGTGGCTGTTTGTTAGCGGCCGCCCGATTACCGACCGAGCTATTATAACATATTTTTTTTCGGTGAAATTTACCGTCGTATTCTAATAATATTTTTCATTCCCTGAAAACTGGGATAAAACGACATTTTGTAAAAATGAAACCTAGTCAGATCGATTTTTCGCCCCCGAATCTACGCACATAATAAATTTCGTGAAAATCGCTGGAGACGTTTCCGAGATTCCGATTCGATTATATATATATATATATACTATATTTCTTTAATATGTACAGCGCTTTTCTGTCACTGACCATACTCATGTACGCTATAGATGGCTCTGTGAGTAATGGCGGTCAACTTTGTCGGGAAATCAGCTTATATATGGATTGACAGATGCGTTGTGATGGAGCATAATTATTTTTAGTTAATAAAAATTGTATAAGAAGGAATTGATAATTGGAAGAATAGACTTTAAATGTCGTTTCTTTGTTTTCAGGTAGGATAGTATGATTTAATCTAAAAGTGTATATATAATTATGTGTATGTAAAATTTGAAATAAAATCTTTGTTTTCAGAGCAACACGATTGTTTATTTGACATTTACAATTCCTAATAAGTTTGGAGTTATTGTCTTATATATATATATATATATATATATATATATATATATATATATATATATATATATATATATATATATATATATATATATATATATATAATATAGAGTAGTAAAGGGAAGTATGAACAGGGAAGGATGTAGTACTTTCGATTGTTGATCGTTTGCTCAGTTAACATTTGTTTGAATGCAAAAAGATAATTTAAATTCTTATAATTTAAATTTTCGATGAAAAAAAAATATCAACCCTGTGTCAGTGCTTTCTTTCATTTCTGATTAGAAATTAACTGTAAGTGAAATTATTTATAAATCACTCAGCAGGTCGGAATCATTTCTAACGCGCCGTGGGCCCAGAAGTGTCCTTTAAAATATTCACAAAAGGTATTCCACTAAGATTTATATTTGACTTCGTGATGAAGTACATAGTACTAGTAGTAGTACATAGTATAAAACAAACTCGTCCCGCTGTCTGTCTGTCCCTATGTATGCTTAGATCTTTAAAACTAAAATAGTTTCATTTAAACATGTATAGTACTTGCGTAATTATTAGAATAGAATTATAATTTCAACGTGCGCATTCTAAAGTAATTAGGGTCTATACTCGTATCGTTTTTTTTTTTTTTTTTTTTTTTTGCGAAAAAGTTGTCAAACGAGCAGACGGTTCACCTGATGTTAAGTGAATACCGCCGCCCATGGACATCTGCTACATTCGAGGGTTACAGATGCGTTGACAACCTTTTGAAAATTGGGCTCCGGCTACCTCACTCACCAGACGAAACGCGAAAGTATTTGTCATACTTCCACTTTACGCCGGTCTTCTGTGAGGTCGTGGTACTTACCCGGACGGGCCTGCCCATTCGTGCAACAGCCGAGGCTGCTGCGTCGTTCTATAATTTAATGATTTTTGCCACAGGCGTTTGATGTTTGCGCTTTCAGTCTCGTAGACTTTACAAAGCACCATCGGGGACACAGCTCGGAGTTTCCGCGGGCCACCCTACCTAATCTGAGACGCGCATGTCGACATGCGTGTGACATGTACGTGACATGCACATGTACGCGACAAGTGATTGCCGCCGTGACATCGGCCGTTGCGTTATTCGTCAGCTGGGTGCTGTCAGAACCACCACGGACCTCGGCTGTACGTTGGACACGCGTTAGATCAGTTGTGCGGACCTAGCTGGTGAGGAAGACCTAACGAACGACGAACTGGAATAACTGGGAATTGTCTAGCATTTCGCAGATGGATTTCGCCAGTCAGATGTTCTAGACATTGCGCGGATTTTCATCCAGGTCTTGCGACCCTCGGTTGTTGCCGAATCTGGCTGCGGGCGAGGAAGAACTAACGAACGACGAACTGGAATAACTGGGAATTGTCTAGCATTTCGCAGATGGATTTCGCCAGTCAGATGTTCTAGACATTTCGCGGATTTTCATCCAGGTCTTGCGACCCTCGGTTGTTCCCGAATCTGGCTGCGGGCGAGGAAGAACTAACGAACGACGAACTGGATTAACTGGGAATTGTCTAGCATTTCGCAGATGGAGTTCGCCAGTCAGATGTTCTAGACATTTCGCGGATTTTCATCCAGGTCTTGCGACCCTCGGTTGTTCCCGAATCTGGCTGCGGGCGAGGAAGAACTAACGAACGACGAACTGGATTAACTGGGAATTGTCTAGCATTTCGCAGATGGAGTTCGCCAGTCAGATGTTCTAGACATTTTGCGGATTTTCATCCAGGTCTTGCGACCCTCGGTTGTTGCCGAATCTGGCTGCGGGCGAGGAAGAACTAACGAACGACGAACTGGATTAACTGGGAATTGTCTAGCATTTCGCAGATGGATTTCGCCAGTCAGATGTTCTAGACATTGCGCGGATTTTCATCCAGGTCTTGCGACCCTCGGTTGTTGCCGAATCTGGCTGCGGGCGAGGAAGAACTAACGAACGACGAACTGGATTAACTGGGAATTGTCTAGCATTTCGCAGATGGATTTCGCCAGTCAGATGTTCTAGACATTGCGCGGATTTTCATCCAGGTCTTGCGACCCTCGGTTGTTGCCGAATCTGGCTGCGGGCGAGGAAGAACTAACGAACGACGAACTGGATTAACTGGGAATTGCCTAGCATTTCGCAGATGGATTTCGCCAGTCAGATGTTCTAGACATTTCGCGGATTTTCATCCAGGTCTTGCGACCCTCGGTTGTTGCCGAATCTGGCTGCGGGCGAGGAAGAACTAACGAACGATGAACTGGATTAACTGGGAATTGTCTAGCATTTCGCAGATGGATTTCACCAGTCAGATGTTCTAGACATTTCGCGGATTTGTATCCAGGTCTTGCGGCCCTCGGTTGGTGCCTGGCTGTATCTGCCTGTTGACTGGCGTCGCAGCGATCGATGAAAAGTTGGCAAGTGAGCAGCATCATCTGATGTTGAGTATTTACCGCCGCCAATGGACGATACACGAAGATATATACAGCGTGTCGTTACCATCGCGACAATAAATGAACACACGTCTAACGCTACTTGCCAATAATTATAAAAAAATATTAACGTTAAAAAAAATCTATTATTAAAAAAAAAATATTTTTCAAACAAACTAATTAAGTAAAAAAGAAACAAAATTTATAACATCCTATATAACTACAACTGACTGATTCATACATTCAGAGACTTTTTCATTCGTTGCCACAGCGCGCATTACAAGCCTCTCCTTCTAACAGTATGTTTTGTCTCTTTTAAATTCATTCAACCCATTCATATGCTTTGTGACCTTTACAAATGAACTTTACGTTACAGTTTTATACGTAATGTTGTTCTAAAATTATTTGTTTTGGAAAATTTACTAACTCGGTAAATATTGATATTTAAAGATTGTAAATGTTTAATACCATTTTAAAAAATTATCCTCTATATGTGTGTTCATTTATTGTCGCGATTGTAAAGACACGCTGTATATATAAAGATTAACACGCTCCCTTGCTGTGCGCATTGCGAACTAAGGTCTCCTAGTTCTTAAGTAGACAACAAAAGCCAATTTGGGATGGCTTGCACGTCATACAGAGAAGGAATAAAGGCGACTAAAATCAACGCAAATCTGTGTTGATTTTAGTCGCGTTAATACACGTTGTATAGTAATTGTTTATTTATAGTAGTTGCAGTGTATATTATTTTATTTATCTAAAAATGTCTAACATAAGTTTTCACTTCTGTCGCCACCCCCCGGAGTGCAGCCCGTAATTTTCTTTTTGGAAGTAATAAAGTCAACATTTAAAAGACCTGCTTTTCACCAAAATCTAGAACCCCTAGTTCCTGTATGAGACGACTCACAAATGACCTTACAATCTGAAATCTTGACCAACCAATATGGAGCACACTATAAGATACAATTCACGTTATCAGATTTGATACAAGCAGAATATAATTTAAAAATCTAAAAAACCAGACTGCGTTTCTGTGTAATTATTTTATTTTGATATACCCAATGTCACTCGGACTAAATACCAATCTAACGACACCTCTCAAGCTTAAATCCATCAAGCCGTTCAGGCTGCAGAGCGTGCCAAGAAATTATACATACATACTCTCGAAAAACATAACCCCCCTTCTGGCGCAGTCGGGTTAAAATTGTAGGTCACGTTGATGCATCCCCCATTATCCTTCAACAGCGCACTTGCGCTACCGTAAAATCCTGTTGAGTAGCAATACCCGCATGTAAGGCCGTGGACACAACCCATTTAACCCTAGAAGCCCAATCTAGGTCATTTTTACCTATACACAAACAAATATCTGCTTTATCTTTTAACTTAATACCCGCTAACCAACTTAGTACCCGCTAAGAGGCCACAGGAGACGGTGATGTAGTATTGGTAAATCCCTTCATATTGGAGTTACCGGACTGGTGTAGGTCAATTTGACCTATGTTTAGGCTTTGTGTAACTTTTAATTTTGTTTTAAGTTTTTAAAGAGAGTTATTTCAAGGGGATTAACGTTGTATTCTATTGACTTATTAACGAATAAATATTATTTTAGTAAAAAAAAAACAAGACGTTGTCCTCTAGACAGCTGAGAACCGACGAGATAGTTAGCGAAGAGACTTTTAAAATGAAAATAACCAGTGGCAGATTTATAGTCTTGGCCGCCCTAGGCTCCAGCCCATGTAGAAAGTTCCAGCCACCCCTCTCTCAGAGCCCATCATATATCTTGTAATCATTAGTGAATATTTCTTTAGGATTGGCCGCCCTAGGCCCGGGCCTATCGAGCCTTAGGGCAAATCCGCCACTGAAAATACGTCTATTGAATCATCTACAAATATACCTCAGTTATCATCAAACAGAATCATTGTATTACCACAACGTTCATTACGCTCAAAGAATAACCATGTTTGGAGTACCGTAAAAGGTAGATCTAGTGGGAGGACCTCTTCAATAAGCGGTTGGAAGCCCCTACTTTGTAGGGTTCAGTGCGGGAAAATATAACAAATATCGTTTAAAATGAGCCGCGACCATTGTCACAGGTCCTCCTAGAAGAACCAGAGCCGAAAAAGCGTCGTAACTGTCTTACAAAAAACAGTAGAAAACATATTCACAGTGTATAAAATGTAAAAAGACAATATTTCGCGAGCACAATATTGATGTGTTTCACACACACCTATAAATAAAAAAAAATATTATAAAAAAACTATTTCATTGATATAGAACATTTATTTGTTAGTATAAAAAAATATTTTGTTTAGTGTTTTTGTTTAATTTTAGTTTAAAAGAAAAAAAAAATCTAAATGATCTCATTTTGTACCAAATTTTAGTATTAATTAGTCATAATAGCTGTTATTTCAAAGTCTAATAAATATATATTATTCTAATTATGCTTTTTTTCATTTCCGAAATGGTTATTATAAATAAATAATGATATAAAATAATAAATTTAACAGAAAAAGTAAGATATACGTGCATTAACTCACATAGGTAAATTTGACCCGTGATTAGGCTTTTTAGACAACAAAACATGATTGGGCTTCTAGGGTTAACCTGCAAGAGAACCGGTCCAAGGCGAAGAGCTGGAAGGGCTCACCTTCGTTCATCGCCATGTCCATCAGCTGCAGATCCTCGTCGTTGAGGATCGATTGCAGGAACCCGTCCTGGGTGGGCGCCATCTCCGCCGCGGCGTTCTGCACGAGGACAGAGTAATAAATAGATAAACAGTAACTGGAGGACCGTAAATCATGTATTTTGGAAATGAAAAAAATAAAAAATAAAGAAAATGATCTGGTATAAGAAAAATTAAAAAAAAAAAAATAAGTGTGTAAACGATCGCGATACGAACCACGGCCTTCTATTTCGGAGCCGCCCGATTACCGACCGAGCTATTATAACATTTTTTTTCGCGGCGAAATTTACCGTCGTATTCGAATGATACTTTTCATTCCCTGAAAACAGGGATAAAAGGACATTTTCTAAAACTGAAACCTAGCTAGATCGATTTTTCGTCCCCGAATCCACGCACATACTAAATTTCATGAAAATCGCTGGAGCTGTTTCCGCGATTCCAATTATATATATATATATATATATATACTTAATTGCTCGATAGAGAATTGCTCGTTTAAAGGATAAGATTCCATGACACATTTTACCGTGGTAGGGCAACGCAATGATATTCACTAATTGGAAAACTTATGAGGGTAAAATATGTATATATTAAAAAAAAAAAAAACGATGCGAGCGCACACCGACAGCGAAAAAGCGACATGGTGGAGTTGTTAACATGGTGGCCAACATCGCGGTATTAGGATGGCATCCAATAACTTTTTGCCGTGTACCAATAATCCCCAGTTGTTTAATTAAACCGTTGTCAAATGTCCTTTTCACAAACCCTTGGGCTGTTGCACGAATGGGCAGGTCCGTCCGGGTAAGTACCGCGACCTCACAGAAGAGCGGCGTGTTACACATCTGCGTTTCGTCCGGTGAGTGGGGTAGCCGGGGCTCACTTTATTTAAAGGTGGCAACTCACTTGCAACACTGCGTGTGTTGCAAATGTCCACGGGCGGCGGTTATCACTTAACATCAGTTGAACCGCCAGCTCGTTTGCCACTCTTTCACATAAAAAAAAAACAATCGGAGAAAGAGTACTGGCACAGGGGATAAATTTTTTAAGTTATTTTTCTTTTGCTACGCTAAAGAAGTGTAACTTCTTAAGTGCGTAAAGTACTTAAAGTAGACCTATACTTCTTTTTTCTAATTTTATATTATTTCACTGCATTTTATTAAACTTGCTGTGATTGTTAATTTCCCAAATCTAAATTGCATTGTTTGTTTTTGTATTTCTTAATTGGCTCACAAGTACTATAGAATGACAACATGACTCCGTGGCGCAGTTGCCAATGTATTGGCTTCGGCGTCGAGGGTCGTGGGTTCGATTCCCACACGGGACAACACAGGATAGTGATGCAAAAGTAAAAAGAAATATTATTAACACAAACAGCTGTTGGATTAATGACGAATAAATAAATAAATAAATAATAATATTTAACACTCTAATCGTAATCTTTGACCTTCTAACTATACCTATATTAAGATATATTATAAAAAAGGGTAAATGTGACAGACAGTTAAAACAAAATTAAAATAACTCGAAGGAAATGTTAACTAACTTGTCTAAAATAGAATCAATTACTAAATAAAACCTGAAAAAAACAACTCGTTTAAAATGACAAGTACACTATTTTACAGCAATAAACGAAGTACCTTAAGGTATTTTTGAGACTAGGGATGTGGAAAAAACATCGTAATATCGACATTTTTGATTTTATATGTAGATATTTTCAGCCGATACATTTGGATTCGATATATCGATACAAGATCAATGTCGAAAATCATATAAAAAACGATAATTCTTCCGGCACAGAGACCGTAGGTGTCCAATATTAAATACTTGAAAATCTGTTTTTTTGGACAACGGGTTTTCTAGGAACTGTATCCGATATATCGATATTTTCACTTCGATATGTCTAGCCCGATATTGATATTTTTAATCTTTACATATGTGTTTTGTACGTGTATATGTCACTGAACTCCTCCTAAACGGCTGAACCGATTTTAATGACATTTTTTGTGTGTGTTCAGATGGATTCGAGAATGGTTTAGATTCAAAATTCGGTCCACTATAATTTCTTTCTATTTCTAATTTGTCGAATTTAAGTCGTGTGTATAGGACAACGTCTGTCCGGTCCTCTAGTATTTATATAAATATCGATATATCGATATATTTTTCACTTTCGACAGCCCTAGTTGTGACTTTGCTTTGATTTACTACATTTATGCCCGGTTTCTATATTCAACGGAAGGCCGTTAGTTCCTTAGGCGAGCTTCCTTTTCGTTTAGGACCTTCGTAACTTTCATAATTACTTGTAGATAAAGGGAACGCTAGTAACACACTTTCCGTTTGTAATGCAACGGCTCGTAAGTTAAACGCCTCGCTTTGTTAATATTGAAACCGGGCGTGCACGCCTTTTATCTACAATTCGTTACGAAAGTTACGAAGCTAGGTAACTAGCGGCCGTTAGTTGAATATAGGGACCGGGCATTAGTGGTGGAGTGGGGGCGGTTTTTACCTGGTAGTAGATCCCGTCATGCTGCTGGGGGTGGTGGGCGGACTCGACCTTGTAAGCACCCTCCAGGGGGGCGGCCGCGCCTGCGAAAGGGGGTAGGAGGCATTCAATACACGCCCATTACGGGACAAAAGAGAACATATCTTTTATGTGAGTACGAACTGGCGGTTCACCCGATGTTAAGCGACGACCGCCGCCCATGGACGTTGCAACACCCGTGTGGTTGCAGATGCGTTGCCACCTTTCAATAGCGGGTGAATTTTCAGCAGAGTTCGACAAGTTCGTTTTTGTTTAACAAATAACAAAGCCGACCTCAAATATCTCGCTCTGTATTCATTTCATAATCGTTTTTCGGGATTTCCCGAAGTATCTCCGGAGCCCGTGATCTAATGACAATGAAATTAATATGGGAACCACGTGGGAAGCACCGGCTTTCAAATAAATAAAGAATCATCGATTCGGTTCGGCCAGTTGAAAGTTTATTTATTTATTTATTTAATCTTTATTGCACTAAAAATTGTACAAAGGCGAGCTTAATGCTATATTGCATTCTCTACCAGCTAACCCTAGGTAGAACAGAGACATAATGACAAGGGCAGTAAAGCAGTTGTAATCGTTACATAATCAATAAAAATATTTCATAAGGTTATAAATCTAAAAACTACCAACATAAACATACGTAGATGAGTATACTTATATATTTATACATATACAGTAAAATATACTTAAATATTCATATTACATATAACTAACCTAATAATATTTATATGTGTATATATACCAGATGTTCGTACATAGTAAGCACTATTAAGGTAGCTAAGACTCAGCAAGGATATGCTCAAAGTTATGAGGTAACAAACATTTTAAAAAAAAAATACATTCGACTTTAGAACCTCCTGTGAATTCGGTTGATAAATGAGGCGGTTCTCAATTCGGTTGTATTTTTTTTTCGATTGTTTTTCCGATCAGAACTTGCGTCGTTTATGAAAGGATTTTCGAAAATCCGTTTCGCTTTCTGTTCGGTTAAGATCACATGCGGTCCTATATTTTTTTTTTGTGCAGTGGCAGAATGTGGCGGACGAGATGGCGATTCACCCGATGTTAATTTTTTTTTTTTAATATTTTTCGACACATTTTTACACAACATTCTCTAGTCCCAAACTAAGCAACCCTTGTACTATGGGTACTAGAAAACTGGTAGACATACTTAAACATACTTTTCTTTTGTAAATAAATACACATTGTACATATATAAACACCCAGACGCTAGAAAAACACTATGCTCATCACACAATATTTTTCCAGCAGTGGGGATCGAACCCACACCCTCTGGCGCAGAAGGCAGGTACACTACCGACTACGCCATTCGGGTCGTCAATATAGTGACTCATAATAATATAGTGGTTTTGTGGCATTTTTAGCATTGTCGTCATCTACTGTTCCTCCTTCACAGAAAGCTCTCTTGACTTATGCCGCTCTTCTTTGGTAATCTGGCACCGCCTCAGTGAGCATTAGACACTGCTGCGTCCATTTAATATCCAAATACACCGGACATATCGGAAATAGAGCGATTCTATATCAGATCGCAGTACCCTAAAGGCCTGCCCTGCGACATACTATATTATCATCATCTCATGCACACACAAAGCATAACATCAAACAAAAGAGGCACTACGTCGAAACATTTTTATAACTACGGCAACTTTAATAACGGAGAGTGTCTTCTAATATTTAAAATTGTGTCACAGTTTTAGTGTTCATACTCCTCCGAAACGGCTTGACAGATTTTGATGAAATTTTATATGCATATTCGGTAGGCATGAGAATAGGTTTATAAGTAGTTATAACCCTAAGTGTTAAGGGTGGCTCACCCAATTTTTTTTTATTTTTCGGAAAAATTATTCGGAAAAACAACGCTTGCCGGCTAGAAAGACTATAACACTGCGACAGCTGAAAGTCCGAGCGCTCGCTTCCAATTCTACAATCCCAAGCAATCGGTTTAATGGAAACAAAGTGCTTATCTATCACGGGATCGGTTAACTGCGGTAGTTCCACGCAAATGCTTCGGCTGTTGCACGAATGGGCAGCTCCGTCCGGGTGATTACCACGACCTCACAGATGACCCACGTGAAGTGGAAGTATGACAAATACTTTCGCGTTTCGTCTGGTGAGTGAGGTGGCCGGAGCCCAATTTTCAAAAGGTTGTCAACGCATCTGTAGGCCTCGGGTGCAGCAGATGTGCATGGACGGCGGTATTCACTTACCATCAGGTGAACCGCTAGCCCATTTTGTTAAAAAGCGAAGCATCTGCAACGCTACGGGTGTTGCGAATGCCCCTTAACGTCAGGTGAACCGCCAGCTCGGTTGCCACCGTCTCACTTAAAAAAAAAAAAACAGTTAACACTTACCGTATGCCTCTGGGTGCTTCTCGGGAACTGGAGCGATCGGTGCATGATGATAGTTTGGCGTGTACCCTGGGGCGGCGCCGTGGCCACTGGAAAAGAGCGAAGGGACATCATTTACCAGGGTCCGTCTTTCCGTTAGGTCAACTTATCTGCTTTGATGCCCGGTTCCCACATCCGACGAACGGCCGTTGGATACATAGCTCCGTAAATTTCGTAACGACTTGTATATTAAAGGAACGCTATTAACTAGCTTTCCGTAGGTAATTCAACGGCTCGTGAGGAAAACGCCTCTTTTTGTTAATATGATCACTCCGTTGCTCAGTCGCCAAGGTATCGGCTCCGGCATCGGGGGTCGTGGGTTCGATTCCCACACGGGACAACTATTTGTGTGGCCCACAGATAGTTGTTTCGCACCTGGGTGTTTGTCCACGTGAAATTCATGTTTGTAAAACGTCCTTACAACACATGATAATGTTATCCTAAGGTAAGGGCAATGTTTTAAAAAAAAAAAAATATGGGAACCGGGCGTACACGCCTTTTATCTACAAGTCGTTATGAAAGCTACGAAGCAATGTAACTAGCGGCCGCTAGCTGAATATAGGGACCGGGCATAAGACGACACTCCTGTGACAAAGCCACGCTGCGGCTTCTGTTTTGTATGCCCGAAGATGGCAAGCGAACCGGCGGTTCACGCTACGTTAAGTGACAATCGCCGCCCGTGGACATTTGCCACACCCGTAGGGTTGCAGATGCGTTGCCACCATTTAATAAAGCTGGCGCCGGTTACCACACTGACCGGACGAAGCGCAGGAGTGTAACATTTCCAATTCTCGCCGGTCCTCTGTGAGGTCGTGGTACTCGCTGGTCTTCTGTGAGGTCGTGGTGCTTCCCCGGACGGGCCTGCCCATTCGTGCAACAGTGAAGGTTGTTGCGTGGCCCTACCAGGAACCACTCCTGCTGTTGCACGAATGGGCAGGCTCGTCCAGGAAAATACTGCAGGCTCGCAGAAGAAGCGTGAGTGGAGTTATGTATTATATTTTCGTAGCCCCTCAGGCGATGCCCATGGGTGGCGGTAACCACCTTAACGTCAGGTGAACCACCAGCTCGCTAGCCAACTTATCTCATAAAAATGAATTTCATCTCATCAAGTGATTACTGCCGCTTATAGAAAGCTGCTATACTAACGCGTTTCGTACTGGGAGTATGCGATTTCCTCGCTAACACGAAGAGACGGGAAAGTACCGTGCGACCGCCGTTCTTCCGCAAGCAAGATTAATTCGTGCAACGGTTGAAACCAATGCAGTGGCATATTGTGGTACGATTAACTGCGGTGCGGGTCTTCGCTGTTGCACGAATGGGCAGGTCCGTCCGGGGTACTGCAACCTCGCAGAAGGCCGGCTTCAAATTGAAGTGTTATACTTCTGCGTTTCGTCAAATGAGTGAGATAACCGGAGCTCGCTATGGTGGCAACTCAACTCACTACGGTTGTTGCAAATGTCAACGGGCGGCGTTTAAACTAAATAACTGGTTCACCGCCAGCATCCTTGCCACCTTCTCACATGAAAAACGTGGCTCCAGCGCGCGGTAGACCCACGGATGTGATAGCAGCTCATTGCCACCTTCTCACATGAAAAACGTGGCTCCAACGTGCGGTAGACCCTCGGACGTGATGGGGACACCCACCTGATGTTGTGCGGGTGCTGGTGGTAGTGCTGGTACTGCTCCGGCGGCGGCGGTATCGTCAGCAACGAAGCCAGATCCTGCCACCGCTGCTCCGAGGACACCGTCCGCACCAGCGACTGTTGGGGTAGCAATATCAGGGTGGCAAGTGGCGGTGGGGCCGCGGGTGTGTTCGGGCCTCGTTCCATGGGCTAGAGGGGAGGGGGGGGGGGGGGGGAGGGGATTGGACTGCGGTTGCTAAGCTACAGCGACTGTTGATCAGGGTGGCAAGTGGCGGGGAATGGGGGGTGTTCGGGTCTCGTTCCATGTGTTGGAGGGGAGGAGCGGTTTGGACTGAAGTCGCTAAGCTACATCGACAGTTGATGTAGCGATATGAGGGTGGCAAGTGGCGGTGGGGCCGCGGGTGTGTTCGGGCCTCGTTCCATGGGTTAGAGGGGAGGGGGAGGGGGAGGGGTTTGGACTGCGGTTGCTAAGCTACAGCGACTGTTGATCAGGGTGGCAAGTGGCGGGGGATGGGGGGTGTTCGGGTCTCGTTCCATGTGTTGGAGGGGAGGAGGCGTTTGGACTGAAGTCGCTAAGCTACATCGACAGTTGATGTAGCGATATCAGGGTGGCAAGTGGCAGGGGGGCACGTGGGTGTGTTTGGGTCGTGTTCTATGGGATGAAGAGGGGGAGAGGGGCGGGGGGCGGCTTCAGTTGTTAAGCTACAGCGACTGTTGATATGGCAATATCAGGCAGGTGGCGGGTGGTCCGTTTATGGGATGGTAATCGTATTCAATGGGATAATGGTGGAGGGGCTTAAATTCCCACACGGTACCTAGGGTTTACAAAGAACTTTATTGTGGTAGGGCCGCGCAACAGCCACGGCTGTTGCACGAATAGGCAGGTCCGTCCGGGTGAGTACCACGAGCTCGCAGAAGACCGGCGTGAAGTGGAAGTATAATACTTTCACGTTTCGTCTGGTGAGTGAGGTAGCCGGGGTCCAATTTATTAAAAGATTGCAACGCATTTCGGGTGTTGCAAATGTTCACGGGCGGTGGTTATCACTTAACATCAGGTGAACCACTAGCTCGCTCGTCACCTTCTCACACAAAAAAAAGATAACAATTCCCGGATCTGGGTGTTCTAGGAGGATTGATCTGCTTTGTTTTTTATTGCATTTCTAAGAAGCGTTTGCTGCTCTTTACATTTCTCTGCACTTAAATGTCATTTCAATTGCACAGACCGGTACTAAAATTGAATATTATAATTATACTAGCTGACTCGGCAAACGTTGTTTTGCCATATAAATTATTTCTAGGGAATTTGGAAGTGTTTGACAGACATAGTTGACAGGTTGACAGGTACAGTTTGTATGGGAAGATAAAATTGTTGCTATTTCAATTTTCTATGCAATTTTTCCATAATTTCTCATCGTTTAAACCTTCCCTAGACTGCCACAAATATTTCAAAACCAAAATTAACCAAATCGGTCCAGCCATTCTCGAGTTTTAGCGAGACTAACGAACAGCAATCCATTTTTATATATAAGAAGATTTCAATAGCAAAGTTGACATGGCAATTATTCAAATGATTACTGTAGAAATGTCATTTGAATTGCAATTTTTCAAAAGAAGTATAACTTCAAAAACATGATTCAAATGTCGACCACACTCACGTAAGTTAGTGGCAGAAGAAATTACTAATATGGAGAATTGGATCGATTGCAAAACCTTACGTCACACGACATTATTCTTTATTTTTGCAACGTCAAAGCTACGTAAATAATACAACTTCAAAAAGAAATCAACCCCACAAGCCTTGATTTTAAAACCTAAAGCTTTTCGACCGAACAAATTCATGACCAGACTTTTTATGCGACAGCGTGAACTCTACTCTGAGTTTCTAACAGGCGACTTTCTTGGTGTTGACAAAAATTAACGAAAATGATTTCAAATGCGCACGTAGCTAGACGCCATAAAAGTTTCATTCCGCCGATCGATTCGAACATCGATGCGTTCTTAATTAAACATTTGAAAAGCTAACCGCTAATTGATTCTTCAAACACGTAGTCACGGTGAAAATTCACATGTCGCCGGCGAATGTCGTATTTTTTTCGGATTGTAAACCCGTCGTCGATTCACAGCCGAACCGAGTTTTAGGACGCCTCGACAAATATTTACCGTGTGACTCGCGGCCGCCATTTTTGTTTCCGTTCGCGCCAATTTTCGACAGCTCCGTTATGGCGGAATTTATTTTTAGTGCTTCGTGAAATTATTGGATTTTTTAATTATGTTATGCTAATTTTAACATTTTTAATGGTAAATAAGAAAACCTAGCGCGAAACGCATTAAGTAAAAGGATTGAGAAGAATTTAATAGATAAACAGTTGAAAAGTTTGTGCGTCTATACATTCTATTTGTTTATTTTTAATCAATACAGCTGCAAAATAAGCTATAAAACGGTATTTTAATCATTAAATTTGATGAATAATTATGGAAGAAGTACATTTAAGGAATAATATATACAGATGTAATAAATTAAAGTTAGTTGCAACTTATGAATACGAACTATTTCCGTTTGTACCAAACATTCAAGCGTGAAGTTAGTAGTAAAACCTGTTGTTTTCAACCAAAATTCTATTATACGACACCCTTTCCTATTGTATATTCTGTGGAAAGCTTCCCGCTTTGCGGTTAAAAGGATAACTCCCAGAGGTATTTACGAGTTTTTGTCGGACAGCGGTCTCTTTAAGAAATTACAACGTGATTTACGATCGCTACCGACCCATAATTGTTTGTGGTCGTTTTGCTACAGAAGAAGCTGAACAATTATTAGTCTCATCTTTTAATAAATATTAAATGAATGTTGGTAAGCGCATAACTCAAGAATGGCTGGACCAATTCGGCTAATTTATTTTTTGTATGTCCCTTAAGGTCCACGGAACGTTTAATAATATAAAAAAGAAAAGACCGAAGACAGTCTGGGCAGTTGTAAATAAATCGTCTTGTGAAAACAATTATTATTCAGCGAATATTAGTCAAAAACGCGATCCTAAAAGAATAGCCCTCTACCTGAACCACAAGACGAAGTGAAAAGTATAAAATCGTTCAAGTATGATTTCATGTAAGTTATTCTCAGATAGCCACAGCAAAAGCTGTTTTAATGGCCCTACAGAAAAGGAAAATAGTACTAAAGATAGTATTGACAATTACCTATAGATAAACTTTTACACTTTGAATATTTTGTTAAACATATTAATCCCCTTTGCCACAATAAAGTTCATTTCTATTCCAAACTTTCGTAGGTATATCGAATTATTATTATAATATAAATGAATACATTAACGACAACAAGCCCTGGGAATGAGATGATCGATTCTAAGCTGTTTCTAAAAAAACAATTATGTACTGTGTAACAACGTAATTGTTTGAAAAAAAAAAAAAAAACAAAGTAGAGGATACCTACGGAGTTTCTTTCGCCTGTTTCTTCTCCGTTAGAGGAATCTCATTACGAAACTGAAGAGAGATTTAAAAAATGACTATAGATAAATGAAATGTACATTTCTTATTTCGATGAATAAATGATTTGATTTGAAAGCCGTGTCGTTTTCAACGTTCTCATTTGGCGCGCACTTGTGAGCGACCACAGACAAAGCTGTAGAGTTACGCGTTTATGTGAGAGCAAAGACAACATACTATATACTTCTTAGTTCGAGTGGCCGTTGCCTGTAGTTTCGAATTTATTCGTTTACGGTTCGAACGGGCATGAATCGGAAATTGCTTTATCGACTTAGTGGTAATGAATTAATTTATGCGTCGAAAGTTGTCGTTAATTTGTTTTTTTTTTTCTTCTAAGGACGATTCGACGACACCATCATTTAAGCCATGACAATTAGTAAATAAGTAAATAGTAAAACGGCGTGATATTAGCACTTATTTTTTTAATTCATTAACTACTATATTCGAGTAATCGATGACTCCGACCACAGAAAACGGGTGTGAAGTGGAAGTGATACACATAAAACCGGAGATACCGTATTCCACGTAAGTTTTTGGGTTCCGTACCCAAAGGGTAAAACGGGAGCCTATTACTAAGACTCCGCTCTCTGTCTGTCTATCTGTCGGTCCGTCTGTCACCAGGCTGTATCTCATGAACCGTGATAGTTAGACAGTTGAAGTTTTCACAGATGATGTATTTCTGTTGGCGCTATAGCAACAAATACAGAAAAAACAGTTAAAAAAAACATAAAAAAAATAATTAAGTGGGGCTCCCATACAACAGACGTGATTTTTTTTTGCAGTATTTATAGATAACGGTACGGAACCCTTAGTGCGCGAGTCCGACTCGCACTTGGCTCGTTTTTTTTAATTTATTTATAACGAAACCATGCATCTAACTAAAGAACGCGCACGGTAAGAAGTATTGATACAACATAATTTTTTAATAGTGTTCGCCTATTAGCGTGTCAATAACATTAAATGGGCGATTTTACGCGCCGCATTTTAATATTTGAAACCAGTTCAGGCTCAGAGTGCCCGTTTCGGTCATATATACATAATTATTTATTTTTGTTAGGTTAGTTTTGGCTTGTTTATATTTTAAACATCTCTTTTTTTTAATATACAATTTATCTATTATCTATCAATTTATTTATCCAACATTTACAACATTAACGCCCGCCTTCTGAATCACTGATCATAGTAGAAGTTAACAAATCAGTTGTCAAGTGGTTTGTCAAATATCATTTGAGTTGGCAAAATGATGGCTAAACTCTTTGAATTGATCATTCTGACCAATAATGATAAATAGACTGTATTAATAAATGCCAAGACGTTAAACTATAAAAAATACCATTATACTTATATAATTATTTGCGCGCTTTTGATTAGCTTCTAGAATCTTCCGGCGGTCGACGGTAGCGTCGCAGATGCGTTAAATTGCATAGTATAGAGCATGCAGAGATACTGGCTTAATCATGCCTCTTGCTGTCACTCGTGCTACAGTGTAGAAAGACAGCAGAACAACCATACTAATGTTTATGGTACATTTTCGACTTTTTTTTTTTGCATATTTTTTGTTATCCCTTTTTATATATATCCCGCAATTTATTTTTATTTCGAACATTCAAAAACGCTTGGTTCAGAGTCGTGTTTCCGTGAGGTTTCAAACAAAGAGATCAAGTAAAAGTTGTGTAAGAAGAAGACGG